AAAAGTATAATATTATAAATACTTTTATATAAAATATAAATATATATTATAATAAAGTTAATTATAAATAAAATATAAAAAAAAAGAATATATAATTATGTAATTATATTAAAAGTAATTAATAAATTACTTATTAATTATTATAATTAAAGATTAATAAATAATTAGATAATTAAAGTAATTAGTTTTAATAATAAAGAGATAAATAAGTATTTAAGGTGAAGATATTTTTATAACTAGGTAATTTAGATTTTTACTAATTAATCTAAGTAATAGTTTTATTATTAAGAGTTTTATTTTTAATAAGACTTTATATTAAAGATATTACTTAATATTATTTTATAGTATTTAAACCTAACTTACTTCCTAAGAAATAGACTAACTATAAACTAGAGATAAGCTATTATTATACTACTCTCTAAGTAATAAAAAGTAAGCCTAAGCTTTAATATTAACTATAGGAGTTTAGAATAAATCTTTCTATATATAGAATAGTTTAAATAAATATAGTTATAGCTAGTATAGATATAAAACTAAGACTAAAGAAGAAAGGTTAATATTAGTAAAACAAGATAAATTTAATTTTAAGTTATTTAATCAACTACTTAATCTTTACTTTCTTTATTATATACCTACTATACCTTTATTAATTAGCTAATTAGATACTAATAAGTAAAGTTAATTATATAATATTAGCGATTTTTTATTACTTTTCCATTTAAAGAAGTACTAGAGTTAAAAATACTATTATAGACTAGCCCTAAGCTACTATAAATAAGTATCTTAATTATTAGTAATTCTCTTAAGGAGAAGAAGAAAGAGAGAAGGTATCTAAATATATAGATAATATTATATAGTATAGTCTATATAGGCCTATACCTAGCTTATCTAAGTAGATGATTAAAAAGCTGGCCTATTTACTAAGGTGTCTATATTATATTTAGCGAAAGGTATAGAGAATAGAGATTAGTAGAAAATTTTAAAAAATTTCTTAAGTATATAGGATATAATTCTATCACTAAAGTTTTACCTTACTATTATTTAAGATAGATATATATTATGAGTTTATAGATAGTTAATTAAATCTGGGTAGCTGCTAAACTTCGGTACTTTATTATAGGCTATTTATTTTGTTACCTATATATTCGCCTTAGCACCTCGTGGCCTCAGGCTAAATATAGGGAAAGGTAGGCTGTAGCCCAAGTTTCTAACAACTACTTCTTATTATGAGTAAACTAGCTAGGATTAATCTTCTAGGATAGGGGTACTAGTGTAAGTTCTAGACCTGCTTACGGCTTAGAATAATGTGTACCTGTGTGACTACAAGGAAGCTAACTATATTAGGAAGGAATCAACGCTGCCAAGCCATTCCATTGACAGGGGGTTTCGTTCTAAACTCCCCTGGCCGACGTTAGGGGTAGAAGCACTCCCAAAAGTGACGTGACGAAAGCTGTGACGTGCACAAGATTTTCTTGCAGTTACAATCAATACCATGCATGCGATTGCGCGACGCAATGTGCGCGCAAGGAGCATTATATCAAAAACGAGTCACCGCATGCATCTAGCGACCGTCTCCAAGGATGCTAGGTGAGTAGCAACAGCTGCTTGGAAGGGCCAGCCACTGTGCTTGTCGCTAACGATGGAGGCCGGTAGGACCTTCGATGTAATTGTGATAGGAGGCGGCCATGCCGGTGCTGAAGCCTGCGCCGCGGCAGCGCGAGCCGGAGCTAGAACAGCGCTCGTTACTCCAAAGATTGAAAATCTCGGTACATGCTCCTGCAACCCCAGTTTCGGAGGCATTGGCAAGGGTACCATGCTCCGCGAAATCGATGCACTTGACGGCCTTGCCGGGCGCATAATCGATAAGGCTGGCGTCCAGTTCCATGTGCTGAATCGAAGTAAAGGACCGGCAGTCTGGGTATGTAGAGACATAATGCGTATCCTGACATTGATAGCCAACATCAGGTTAACTTGTTTCTGTTTGTCTAGGGCCCGCGTGCACAAATAGACCGAAAGCTCTACCAGAAACACATGCGCGAGGAACTTCAATCCTATCCGAATCTTTCTATAATACTCGGTTCTGTATCCGATATCGTGCTGTCGACAGAAGAGACCGCACCGAGTTTGCATCAGTCCGCTATTTCCGGCGTTCGACTCGACTCTGGCGAGTTCATTTCCACGAAACGAGTTATTATAACAACGGGGACATTTCTAGGCGGAGAGATCCATATCGGCCTACAGACATACGCGGCCGGCCGGCTGGGTGAAGCGGCGACGATTGGGTTGAGAAAGTCTCTGCGAGATGCTGGCTTCCTGCTGGGTCGCCTGAAGACTGGAACGCCCCCGCGATTAGCCAGGTCGAGCATCAACTTCAATGTGTTGGAAATGCAATATGGCGACTGCCCACCTAGCCCATTCAGCTACTTGAACAGCAGGGTTGTGGTTCAAGATCAGCTTACCTGCAGCATGACCTATACGAACCATGCAACACATGATGTGATACGGGACAACTTGGATAAGACAGTTCATATCCGCGAATCTGTCAAAGGCCCTAGATTCTGCCCTTCGCTGGAATCCAAAGTAGTCCGTTTTGCTGACAAGGAAAGGCATATTGTCTGGCTCGAGCCTGAAGGCTTTGATGACCCTGTTATCTATCCGAATGGTCTATCTATGACGATCCCTCCTGAAGGACAAGAAAAAGCGCTGAGAACTATTGTTGGCCTCGAAAAAGTCAAGATGCTCCAGCCAGGCTATGGCGTAGAGTACGACTATATCGATCCCCGTGGGCTGAAGTCTACGTTGGAAACCAAGGCCATCAGCGGGCTTTACCTCGCCGGTCAAATCAATGGCACCACTGGCTACGAAGAGGCAGCTGGACAAGGCATTCTTGCGGGGATGAATGCCGCAAGAGCGGCACTAGGTCTTCACGGCGTATCACTGTCGAGATCCGATGGGTACATTGGCATCATGGTTGATGACCTGATCACCAAGGGAGTGACTGAGCCTTATCGCATGTTCACATCTCGAAGTGAATTCCGCATGGCAACACGAGCTGATAATGCCGACTTGCGACTCACCGAAAATGGCCGCAAATGGGGCGTCGTTACGGACCGCCGCTGGGAGGTTTTCACGGAGGAGAGGGATCAGATCAACAGATTGACAAGGAGCCTCGAGGCGGTCTCTCTCTCGGCAGGGAAGTGGAGAGAGCATGGTTTTCATACCAAGCGCGACTCTAGCCGACGCAGCGGCATCGATCTGGTCCGTCTCTCCAATGCCAAGACACGCATTGACCTGGAGCGTCTCGGCTCCCTTATTCCTGATATCATGGACTTTCCGCCCCGAATTCGGGAGCGGGTTGTTCTGGAAGCAACGTATGCCCCATACATCAGAATGCACGAGGCTGCAATTGGCAAATTCAAGAATGATGAGGGAGTTCAACTGCCTTTGGATCTCGACTACGACTCTGTTCCGGGCCTCGCACTTTCAGAGCGCGAAGTCCTCAAAATCACACGCCCCGAAACTCTCGCCCAAGCTCGCCGGGTGGAAGGCGTTACGCCCTCGGGTAGTTTGCGATTGCTTGCATATGTTCGGCGTCGCTTCGACCGAAAGTCGTCCTTTGCCGAAAATATTTAAGTTGGCTCACCATCATGTGACGCTCTGAACAAACATTTGAACGTGTTCTCGAATCCAGGACATATATACTGGCATATATACCAGCCTTGAAAGCCGCGATGCAGCGATATTGACTTGGTGTACATGCGGAGATTTTAAAAACCTGGCTGAACCAAGCCCGTTAGGAATCGTATGACTGCAGTTTCTAGCGCTATTAATTGATACCATTCCCCATCATGACCGAATCCAACGCCAAGACTTCTAAGTGGCATTTACATTATTGCTTGGGTTTCTGCTTATTGGGTGCGCTTAATATCTTGACAGCATCTTTGGTATACACATAACTTGCGCCGCTCCAAATCGTCGTCGCCGCTACAACGTATCTGTTTCGCACTGTGAGTCTGATGCACACCACGGGACACTGAAGGAAAAGCCGACGTACTGCATCATCATCAAAGCCTGTGACAAGTCTAGCGGCACGAGCGGCGCTGCGGTTGTCACACCGACAAGGGCCAGCTGCAGAAAAGTATTATACTTGCTAATCGTCGTGGGACGGACCTCCGCAGAGGGTAGGGAAAAGTCCCAGTATCGTGCAAAGGTTTTCGGGGGCGGAAGCGATATCCAGCGGTAGTAAATGGCCGCAATGCCGAGCCCGACATCTCTACCGAGAATGATGCTTGCCACCCAAACTATTCACGTACGTCGTCAGTATTGATGCTCCTGCCACATCTCGGAGAGCCAAGTCCCTAATGCGCCGACGGTGACGTATGCAGCTTCTACGCACCTGGTAACGCCCCCTTAACAGCGAGACACACTGTCAAGACCGTCATGAGCACTTTGTCAGCCATTGGGTCAATGACCGTTCCCACAACCGTCTTGCGGTTCCATCGTCGTGCAATCCAACCGTCCAGAAGATCGGTCACACCAGCATACGTCAGCATTCCAGCCGCCCAAGCATGCGAATCGTGCAAAACAAAGTATCCAATAAACGGCGCCGCCAGCAGCCTGGAAAAGGTGAGGATATTCGGCAAAGTATATATGTCTTCGTGCAGAGTCGGATTAGACGAGGGATTGGATGCTTTCGTGACCTCGGAAGTCGACCCAGTACTCGTGCGTATTCGGGTTTCGTTGTCTGGTTGCATGGAAGCTTGCGATTTGCGCGATGCAAAAGACTTGGAGCTGTGTTAAAAAAAGCAAGTTAGCGACGAACCTGGGTTCGCCTGGGTACAAGCGACGGCGTAATGAAGCAGAGGGTTGATAAGGATCAGGCAGCTAGCCATTGATGCACACGTACGAGGTTTCTCGGTACAAGTTTGGCGCAAGGAGGCCACTTTGGATACGGCGAAGCGGTCGTGGAAAGAAGGAGAGCGCCCGTGTAGGGCAAGCCAGCCGTGACGGTGTTTGCAAGAGAAGCGTCCTTCGCAAGGCCACCCGACCAAGGACTGCTGATGTGGTTTGCGAGGAGAGCATAACGACAGTTGTTGCGATAACTGTGGCTCCACCGCTCGCTCGGCTGTGCGTTCTCAGTAGGGTAGAAATCGAAGTATTCCGGGGTTGGGAGGCAATATGCTCGAAGCCGTGGCGACCTTCTCTTGCACGAAACAACTTTAGGCGGGAGAAAAAGCAGTCTACCGCGGTCGCAGCGTCAGGCACAGCAGTGGAGACGGCACACCAGAGGCACGAGTCCCGTCCAACATCCCTGTTGATGAACAAGTCGTTTTAAGCATGCGTCTCTAGGGGATGGTCTTAATTTTTATTTGCATGTCCAAAATTATTCAATTCAGAAATCGCACATGTACATGTGGATGAATTATAGGGTTGCATTTCCTGTATCTGTTCTCTTCTTAACAAAATTGCTGATAGTGGTATCTTCAAAGGACTATTAACTCTGAACGCCAAACCGTTGCCCGATGAGTTCGTCTTGCCCAGCCGACATTTGAACCGAATGTGTATCATGAGCCTCGCGGCTACCTTTTTTCCAAGCGCCTTAAAAACAACCCAAGAAGGAAGACAATGGTCGCAGACTACTTCAAGTAAAAGATATAACAAACCAATATGAACATGTGGAAAGATAAAACCCATAAAGTGCACCTGTGAAAAGAGGCGAGACCGCGAGTGTAGAGACGTTGTTCCTTGCAAAGTGTAGTAGATCAAGATGCTGCAACAGGTAGGGATGCTCGATAAAACAAATGCCAACGCAATCATGATCGGTGGAGAGAATTGGGCCCGTTGGTCCAATGGACATTATTTTGAGTGTAGTATTGATGGTCAGAGTCGCCCTCTAGACTTTCGATACCCCAGACCCCCGAAGCACCGTCGAGGTTGTATGAGTGGTTGATGCTGTCGTCGGCATGGATCGCATCCGACTCCAGCCTCAATGCACGGGATACTGGAAATGTCGAAGTTTGTGGGGTAGCCGCCGCAGTTTGGTGCTGAGGTTGCACATAGTATGATTGATGGGTAAGGTAGGGGTTGCTAGCCAAAGGTCGAGTGTCGGTACTGTTGGATCCAAAGGCCATGCCGCTCATGTCTGAAGGATGATGACTTGCCACGTCATATATCGAGGGACGTCTAGAAGATGTGGCCGGTGGCATATTACGGGGAAACTCATGGTTAACTGTTGGTGTGACAGAAAATCGTTCGCCTCTGGCATGTTCAAGAGAGTAATTGCTCGCTGGGTTGGTTGCGTAGGGCATTTGCTGTGGCATGGCGGCCTGGAAACCCGAGTTCGCAACAGGGCCTGGATAGCCGCCGTTCTGTGTAGTGGGAGAATGTTGCGGAAACATGTAAGCAGAACCCGAGCTGCTTGAATGAATACTATTCATGGCGTTCTGTAGGTTGCCTTGCATCATGGCACGGTGGAGGACACCACTACCATTGTTGATTGAGCCGTGGTCGGGATCATACTGGGCGGGCACGGCCCCGGTATGTTCAGCTACCGCATACTCAACCTCGTCAATGGGAGTTCGAAAGTTTTGAGCGAGAAAGAGTTCAGACCGAGGAGTGACGCCTCGCGTGATAATGCTATTCGTTGGGGTGACAAGCTTGCCTGATGTAACATCATCGACGTTGTAGTAGCTCACCATGTGATGAGCGACGCCCTGGTAGGAAATGCTGATAGTCTTCTTCACCAGCCCATCGGGCTTGAAAGGGTACGAGTCCACGAGTGAGCCGATCAAGGAGCGCTCCTGATCCTTGCTGTTGCTGGATTGATCGAGTCCTGCAGCGACATAGGACATATTTGTATGGGAAATCGTTTCGGATTTGACGATTCCCTGAGGTGAGGACGACTTCTTGCTCTTCTTCAGGGCTCGCTTCTTCTCGCCCGGAGGAAAGGGCTTCTCGAGCTCTCTGTAGATCAAGAAGTTGCCAAGGATTCGGCTTGGGCTCCAGGAGACACCATCTGTCCAGCGCTTGATTCCAGAGGAATGCTCTTCGTAGACGAAGATATTACCGCTTTTGATAAGATCTTGACGCTCACGGTCATGAGGACGGCGGGGGACATGATTAAGGATGCCATCCAAGCATGACTCGAAGAGCACAAGAGCATCCAAGGTACTGGAGATGTGTCCCTCGAATGTAGGGATCAATGGCGCTGATTGATTCTCCATGGTTGGTGACTAGCACGAAGCTTCTTCAAGGCTAGGTTGGGGAATGGCCAAACAGCCTCGAGATGATCAAAGTTTGGGCTGAGAAGCTGGAAAAGTTAGATTTCAGAGAATTGGCACGACGGCACAGTTGCCAGCTCGAACGTTCAAATCAAAGAGAAGAAAGTTTGAGGAGAGACAGAGGAAGAAATAAGGAGTCGAAGAGACGAATGGCCTGTCGGTCTTCAAATTGTGTTGTGTAGAAGTTGAGGAGGTTTGTGGAAAGGCAAAGGAGGGAGAAGATTGGAATAGAGAAGGCTGGCGGATTCGGCGGCGAAATGTTTTTGTGCTCCCGTCGTGCTATCTCGTCCTTTTGATTATCTTGGCCCGCAAACACGTATGTATGACTGATGAGGGCGAAGGAGCCTGAAGAGGCGTAGAGGACCAATAAGCCGCAGTGGGCGTGGTCACAGCCAGGAAACTAGTTGATGATTCACCACCGGGGCGCCTGTGATGATAAGTGGCGGGCGTCTTGGCAAGGCTTGACAAGTTGAAGAGGTAATAAGGAAAGTAAGTTCAAAAACTCGTAAACTTCGATCGAGCCGTGGCGGGGAAGGCTTTGTTTTAACTTCCGGGCGGCGGGTGTTAAGGAGCTTATGAGCAAAATGGGAAGCTAGGCAAAATGACAAGGGAGCCCTGGACCGAGTCCAGTGGGAGAAGGGGGAGGGGGCACAAGCCCAAGTGCGGTCTAGAAGAGGACAAGATTTAGAGGCGATGGGGGTCCAGAGTTTAAAGAGCCGTATAGGACGAATCGTTGGCAGCAAAATTGGGCTGTGCACAGAAGCGCCCCGAGTTTTGGTTCGTCTTGGTAGTAACTCGACTATTGCGACTGAGCCAAGAGGCTTGCTTTAATGCACAACCCGGAGACGGTCGAGAGACTAGCGAGAGCAGAACTTGTCAAGGACTAATAAAGTGCTGACCCAGGCGGATAATCTTGGGTGACTGCTTGCAACTGTGGTGGCATTTAGAGGGAAGAGCTAAAGACTCTGGCATTATTGGAAGCGTCGTATCAAGGTGGGTGTTGGGGGTGGTATCTAGCGGGGCGAGTTTCTCTTGACGGATCCGCTTCCGTCTAGTTATTGTAGTGATGCGAAAGAAGATGGCGATTAATAAGAGAGCAGGGAAGGAGAAAGGTGGTGAAGATGATGTGGTGTGTAGTGAGAATAGGGGGGTGTAAGTTTAAAAAACCGAATGTACCAGTAGAGAGATCTCAAGATGGCAACTACGGATACTGCTGTGCTAGTCTAGTCAGCGCATGGGCGTGCATACCTAGGCAGCATCGACCAAAAAGGATTTGCAAGGTTGGGCATGGTGTCCTTCTGGAGGAAGCGATGACTGATGATAAATAGTTACGTGCGCCGCAGTTGGGCTTTCGGCAGGTGCGACCGAGGGTTGACTTAGACGCAAGTGACGAAGTGGAGAGAGAAGACTGGGCGTTGCGCTATTGCGGATGCGATTCTGGCTCCTCGGTGTTGTCCATGGAACAATCTACTAGTTAAGTAAAAGAAAAGCCAGGCCCATGTCGAGCTTTACCATCCCGAGTGCCCCATCGAGCCAACTAGTAACAAGCAAAAGAGACAAGTCAGGTTCAAATATTGACTGACTGCACAGAGGGGTAGCAACATTGGTGGTTCAGAGACAGGTACTCGGTATGCTGGGAACAGGCATCCTGGCGATGGTATTGGACTAGACGGACCATAGGGGCCATGTAGCGTGCGCCAGCGCTGTACCTACTTTGTCATAGTGTGCGGTTGGCGTCGCAATTCACGTCTTGATGACGACCGAAAACAGCAAGCCGGCACTGGGCTGGCCATGTCGAGAGCAGAGCAAGGCCGCTCAGCTTGAAGCAGTCGGCTGTGATTATCATATATCACTGGTTCTGCAGTGCTCTGCCAAGTATAAAAGCTACACACTCGTTTGATTACAGAGGCTGGCCGATTTGCCTGACGTGACTAACACAAAATTGCAAGGACACTAGGACGTAGAGGTCAAGAACAACAGGGAGCGCGACAGCCGGGCAGCCCTGGTCAATCCTCGGCTGCATGCCAGAGAGGTCGCAGCATTGCGCCCTTTTACCTACGTGTACTCAGTATGTAACTATGCAGTTGGCAGACGACGGCGACTGAACTAGGGTTCAAGTTCAACATAGACCAGCGTGGCGCAATGGGCCGATTTGGGAGCGACAACAGGGGTGTGGATCGTGGCGTCGACGCGGACAGCTTTAGTGCGTGACTAACTAACTCTAGTTACCTACAGCTACCGCTGCTCATCTCGGCTTGCAAGGAATTGAAAAATGATGCGCTGTAGGTCTGGTGGGCAAGCAAGTGTCGCCATTGCAGAGATGTGTGCACCGGATCCGAAGTAGTAGCCTCTGACACTTGCTAAAAGAGCCCGTCATTGAGATGCTGCCTCGGGACTGCGGACTGCCCACTATTCGCAGAGGTCTCCCATGCGGGTTAGAACGAGTTGGTGATTAGGTATGTGCGTTTGTCATCCTCATCCCCGTGACCGTTTCCGCTTGGCCATGGCGCGCCTTGCAACACAGGCTGTAAAGGCTACGCAAAGCATCGACTCTATCTTGCCTCGTGCTACGGATTCTGTGATCGTGTGCCTTCCCACAGGCACAAGCAAAGCAAGATCAAACTCTATTGTGCCAAACGAGATGTAAGACAGATCGCAAGGCCCAACGAGCTAGCAGAGCACGGCTGGTGGTCAGCTGTATGCAGAGAGCGAAGCACACGTAGCAGAGACAGCCACACGCCCCTTGTGCCCGAAATCAATCGCCGGTAAATAGGATGCACTTCCCATCTGCATGTCGATCAACTTAATAGCCGGATTGTCACGGTCAGCTAGCACTGGTTCGCCGATGACGATATCCATCAGTTACCGAGTACCCGGGGCTCAAGATTTCTTACGAGATGTAATATGCTAAATTCACTCCAGAAGCACATCCAGAGGCCATTCCCAGACCACCTACACTGCTATTCAATTGGAATCGGGCAGCTTTGGCAGCGTCACAACTTCTGATAATAATTTTACCACGCGTGCAGCACCGTAGCAAATACGCGAGAGCGAGCTGATGGAGGGGCCCGCTCGCTAAAAATCCAAGGAAATACATATGTGGTGGATACAGGGGCGTCCACTAGCAAAGAGCCAAGGCTCTCCAAGAGCGATCAGCCAATGCGTGCCCGCAGTGGATGGCAGGGTCTGGATGACCTGCTTGCCTGCATACAATACGGCCAAGATAACTTGGGTATTTGAAGACTTCCTCATCATCATCGAAGATTTGATGGTACAAGACACAAGGCAAGCGATCTGATTATTTATATGGAAGAGCCGCATGCGGTCGTATGGTATGAAGCCAAGCATGTTCCATCCAGGGAGTGGGCAACATAGCCAGGTAAATAAATAGCTGCTCCGTTCCTGGGCACTCCATAGCTGTTGACTAAATACGCAAGTCGTGTTTGCAGCCAATCCTACTTTTATCTCCATCATTTAGCCGATAGTTTGCGCTACCGTGGTTGCTTGCTGTGTTGAATTCTATGTTCGCACGGGTCATCTTGCGAGTCTAGATGGTGAGGGGAGAATCCAAGAAAAGAAAGAAGCGAGGAACAGACCATATCCAAGGACATGAGAGAATATATGCACCTAGTCGAAATGCACCGTTTCCATTTCCTAATAAGTGCAACTCTACGCAATTTACTTTGTGCAGCCTAGCGCCTCAAAGGGCTTGTCCGTCAGCATCGCGCACTTCTGATGCAATGATGAAAATCGATAAATCCGGGAATGAGGAGCAGCTTCGTCTTGGTTTGTTTCCAATTCCGGCACATGGCCTCTCCGCACACTCTCTGCCGTGTGCTCCAAGACATGGTTCCACCAGCAGAGTAGGGCATGACTATGATGGCGGCATTCTCGTGCACACTTTGTGCCTTGGCTGTCAATGTGCTTGCTTGTCAAAAACGAAACTTTGCCCTGAAGGCCAAGAATACGGGAGCCAGGGGTCGGCATCAATATTAGTACATCAGAGCGGGATGGCCTAATTGTCGTCTTGGCCCGAAGCTCCATTGAAGCCTGACAAACTGTACAATGTCTCGCACCTGTCAACGGTGCTACATTAGCTCACGGCGCTACTGCATGGTCGTGTACGCGAGGTCCAAGACGTATCGCAGAGCAGGGGGTTTACATGAATAATAATGGCATGTATTCGTACGAACGCGACGGAGTACCAAGTTGCTTTGCCGGCAGACAGTTTGACCGTCGAGTGACAAGACTAGTTACGGCACGCCGAGCCAGATTGTGCCAGGCAAGGAAACAGGGATATGGGCGTTTTGCATCAGTACCAGTAAGTTAGTTCAATCGCGCGGGCTCTTGCAACGCGGAGCACGAAAGCAGCTGCGACGAGCAAGGTCAATCTCGACTTGTTGAACCGGGCTGGCGGGAAGTGCCCCGTAAAATGTCAGGCCATAAGAAGGCATGGGCGGGTTGCCCACCCCTCTGTGGCACCCGCGTTATGCTGGTATTGGAAGCTCTAAAACAGGGCAGGTTGCGATCTAGAGGAATTAAGCAAATCAAACAAGGAGAAAGCGTCTGTCCCGCAACGGAATTGCCGAGGTGGGCGTAATAAGGGCGCAAGGCTAGGAGGACAAGGAGACAATTGACGAGGAGCTAGCCAGAGAGGAAGCTGTTCGCATCTCGTTGTTTAATTCAGCCGAGCAAAGCTTCCAAAACCCGAGGCAGCCGTTGTGTCATGAACGGTGTCGACCTTGGCAAGCTCGACGCTTGGAGACACGAAATCACGAACAAGTGGGGAGTGGGATGGATCGAAGGGAAGGAGATGTAAAGACGAATCGACAACCGTGCACGGAGATGTTGAAAATATGGCATGTCTCCGGAAAGAGGCCGGAAGTACGGATACGACTGGTTGAATTGGCTTTACTAGTCATGGTCGTTGGCTAGATCTAACCATGTCTTGTCGTCGCCATGGACAATTCTAGGTCACCAACAAAACCCCATGGCAAAAGTTCTACTTACATGTATCTACCAGGCAACCCTCTGAATATCGACGCCCTCAAGCACGAATCTCTCTTCTCACGCCCTTTTCTCCACTCAACAAAGTTCAGCGCTGCAAATGTGGGAGCAGAGGGGAGGGGAACAAGGGGGGCCGCTCCTCCAACAAAAAGGGACATCCGGCTCCATATCACAGCTAGACAGGGCTACGTACAATCCCCTTTTTCTCACCACTCTGCACCGCACGGCTGCCGAAGAGCTCTTGGCTGGAGCGGGCATGGCATGGCAACCATGGGTCCATCAACATGGGCTCTGGGAATACTGGGATGTGGGCAACGGGGTCGCCGGATCTGCAACCACATACAGCCAGCCACAAGTTGGTCAAAATCCTGTTCGGATGCTGGCGACTGATCGAAGGCATCTATTCGTATGATACAATTGAGGCAACGGAGGGTCTCCTTCCGCCAACACACATCTATCCACCCGCCCCCCCGGAACATGACCGCCAGATACGCCGAGCCCTGATGTCTGTTGAGTCATGTCGGAAATCAGGGAGATGTTGTACTGGATCTTCAGTAAATATTTGATTCGACTTCTTCATCGGGGAAAGTAGTCTGCCGTAGATCTATCTGAACGGTGATGCATAGCAGGTGCCGGGAAAAATCGACCCTGCGTGGCCTTTTTGTCGGCGCTAGCCCAGGTTGATGTCCACGAAATTGGTGCCACAGGCGCCTATACGTAGTACGAATAGTTACGGCTACAGGGGGTTGTAGGAGCCCAATCAAGCCTGCTGCTTCGGGCCAAGCATCCTCATCCAGCCTCTCGCACTTGAGCCTCCCCCAAGACACAACTGCGCGTGGGTCTTTGTTGTTGGTATTGTCAGTGTGCCACTGGGTCTCTGTGCGACCCCCGTCATATCTGATCCTGCATGCGGCGCATACGATCATGCACATGACGAGTTCAATCTGCGCATTACTGGATATAACCGCGGCGCGGCTCCGGGTAGGCAGCCGTCACGGGTCCCCTCGCCCAACCCAATATCGCATGCTGCCAGTTTTGACTCGTGCGTGGTGTCTTCAAATCTGTCTGACAGACGTTGCCATCGGATGGTTCCAGGGCGAATGCACTACCAAGGGCGAACTACCAGCCAAAAACCCAAACTTCACGCACCACATTCATCCCAAGCTGCATATTTTCACTACCAGGAGTTACACTGCCGGTGCCTTGGCTTGATGTCGTGATAGCCTAACTTTGTCTCATCGAAGGCCAAATGTGACCCGCTTGGGCACCAACCTGATCAGCACTACTGAATATTTGCCATGCTTGCCGCTATTAATTAACTATTATGAGTGACCTGTCTTGTATTATCGTACGGAGAACATGAATTGTCCGATAAGGTGTATAGTGGCCCCGTCGGTAGGGGTGCCGGCGATCGAGATACAACATGACACCGGGTAATCTGTCCACCAAAAAGTGATACATCAACAAATTGAGTATTTTGAACAATTAAACAGAGGGCGCAAGCAAATACTCTTTTAGGCTGTTTTTTTAGAGAGAGACCCGGAATAGCAAATACTGCATTCCGCAACTTGCGTTGCAGTTCCGAGCAATCAAGCTTGCGGGCAAGAGATCCCCTCAACAGTAAACAGCCAGCGAGCTTAACTCATACGCTGCATCTCTGGGCCCGATGGAATAATTTCTCCCGGAAGGCATAGGCCACCTGCTTGAGCGAATTCGAATCGTAGAAAAAACTTCCTGGGCAAATTCGTATTACCCCGCCCGGGTTGCGTACCGCATTAATGAAGTGGGATGATTGATACTATCAAGAGACCATCGCCTTTGACCATCTGCCAGCTCCAAGCCCAAAATGCATGAATAACTAGTCTGCGCCATTGTACTGGTAAGGGAAAGAAAAGTTGCTCATGTTGGGGTCCCCCTCAATCGTGTGCAGAGAAAAGCTGAACACAGCAGGCCGGGGGATTTTTCCCCCACTGCATCGACCCATCCTCGACCGTAACCACCCAACACCCACATTCTTGGTCCCCGCTCATAGAGGGCAACATGTTCGTCCCGCGTGCACTGTCTCCGGAAGATGGCATTGGGGTCCCCAAAACAGCAGTGCTTGGAGAGCCGCCCAATGATAGGTGCGGCAATAGGTCCTTAATGCCTCATGAGTGGTTATGCCGCGGCGCTAATATGCATGTTTGCATGAGACCAAGTGGGTTTTGGGGCGGAACATGCCGCTCTCTCTTCTCTCACTGAGTACTTCTCGCCAGTGTAGCGTGTAGCATGGACGATGCCGTCATTTGCTGCTGATAGGGTCTCTTTCATACACCGTGTGACGGGTAGGGACACTGACACCAAAACACCAGGGCACGGCAGGACGTATTACAATGACATCGGGACTACGGATAGAAAGCTTTGATACATCATTCAAGCTTCTTACCGAGGCGCATACAAGGGAACACCAAAACAATGCTACTTTAAGCCAGAACTACGAAACCTAACCCTCGGCAAAATTAAAGCGGCGTGCTGTAGCTGCCTTTTTAAGGCCAGCGGCTGCTATTTAGGTACTCACAGAACCGCTATCTGGAGAGGGGCCAATAGGTACTTATTAGTGCCACCCACTGTAGATGCAGCTTTGCCAGCTGCAATCTGTCTACCTCAAAGAACGCCTTGGCTGGCATGTCCGCCGAAACTTGCTGCATCTGCGCCGTCCGTGACATGATCTGCAACATGCCCAGTGTTTAGCTGGGATCCATTTGACAAAACTCCCCGATCCCATCTGAGCACTGAGCAGCAGCTTCCCAGTGAGCTGGTTTGATTGCTTGTGCATGCGTGGCACCATTCATGATCGCAGCGTCATTGGGCCATGAATTTTTTGAGGCTCAATTTTGTTTTTACAGCAACAAGTATCCGTATAGCAGCGAACACCCGGGACCTTGTATTTCGCGGGCCGAGGCCGACTCTGGCAGGTCTTTCAGATTACGAGAACCCAACGGCTCCAGCCCATTACGGCGACTCCGACGCTGCACATCCGTGCTCAATGCAGCCTATCCTTTTTGTTTTCGAACCTGCCCTTGTCAATGCAGCAAACGAATCTGTCTTCTTCATTGCACTTTTGCTGCTACTGCCTGTCAAACTTGGTGGCCGAGCCGTTGGCCTCGTCAATTCTGTCTGAAAATTTTCGTGCGGAAACGGCTTTCCCGATCACCGGTTCCCAAACTACATACGTCGCTCAACCATAGGGAGAAACACCAGGGAGAAACACTCCTGGCTATCCCCCGAAACTCAATGAACGAGTTATCCACTGCTGCCCCAGTTCCTGTCCCGGACCGACGGACTGTCTCGGCCGGAGTGTTACCTCACGGCGATTTAAGGCCAGCGAAGAAGAATGATGAAGAATTCTCAAGTGACCCTCATTTGACCGATTTCTAAGCTTTTCCCAAGCCATAATTGTTACTGTCATAAACAGTACTTTGATAGTATACCGGTGAGCGATTCATCTGTTGATCACGTCGTGTGTGGCATTGACGATGCCATAGTTTGCTGCTAATATCAGTAAGGTCTCTTTCATACACCATGACGTGAGCACGCTGCAAGGCAGCCAATCTTCGTGCCGGCAGTAGCCTATATCCAGCCCGGGAGCTAAGCGGCGTGTTGAGCCGCTTTCCCCGTACCCAAATTGGTAAAACCAGAGCGGCAGGGCATGCACACGAACAAGACGAGCCCCGGAGCCTGGAGGTGGCGCCCCAGAGACAGGGATCAGTGCTCTTGCAGATATGCAAGGACGCGGGTGGCAAGCATCTCTTCACAGGGATGTCTCTCAAGGGAGCTCAGCCGTCGCATAATCAGCCCATATTATTACCACTCATCAATGCTGCTTTTTTGCATCTTATTCATCATGAACAGAGATCGTACGTAAGAAAGGGACAGCAGGCCCTCCAAATGTTTGAATAGTTTGAACCATCGACCTGGGATTGCCGAGATGCCAACACGCACTTCCATACACCCCCCTCTAGAGGACCTGTGTGTACTAACACGTATGTACTACGTGGCAGCCACGCCGCTGTCCCACTCTGGGCACGGTCGGAGATTTCGCTTCCTTGTTTTTTTTCTGCATTGCGCTTCGCAAATCTCTTGTAGCTGCTTCTCAATGGGTGAGACGCTTCATCAAAAGCCCAGCCAGTGGCTTGCAGCTGGCCTCCGCCGCGTCCTCGGTGTCAAGTGCCCCGATCCATGGAGTGAATATTTCCACAAGCGAAACAATACTATTCCAAGCTGAGCTAGAACACTGACTGGCTTACATGCTGCCATGCAATGCAAGAATACTGGTCGGGCTGAAACGTAACAACAAACGGCGACGTGCATGTGATCGGGTTTGGGTTGGCAACTGTTGCCATTGATGCTGCTGCAGTTTCACGATTGCAAGTGCTTCCTCTCCATCATGTTCATATAAACACGGTTCTCTTGGAAGTATCTTGGTACACATGAGTAGCTACTGGCCACCAAGAAAGAACCAAGGCTCGTCACTGTCCTTGTACGGGCGACCGGGAACCATCATGGGAACGGGAACCACTCCCGAGAAGATGGTAATGTCGCATCCATTACCAGGATTTCCATGTACTGGTACAACTACACCGCATTCCCAGTTACGACAGCTCATCTTGGCACTCCCCGTGCCTCTATCCTTGACTACGCGGCCCCTGTTGTACTGACCGTTAGAACAGGGCAAATGCACGGCATTTGCTTTTCAATGGACGCGTGCCAAACTGGCTATACTTACCAAGCACTCTCTGAAAGATTGGCGCTGCCAATGTAGGCCCATCCCATGGCTGGTGTTTGACCAATCAATTCCGCTGCTGCTGGCCTACGCACCAAGATAATCTTGCTATGCATCAAAAGCCCGTCCCTGTTATTGACGCAGTCACGAACAAGTTCCTTCGGAAAACTTGGCGCCCTCCACCACTTTGCCTGGACGCAAATAGTCCCGGCAGACTAAAATATGTTAGCATGGATCGACACTCGCAGGGCACACCCGGCTTGCTCAATTTGACTCGGGCTGCCTCACTTGTCGTCCGCCTTTACTCTCAGAAACAGTCCGATCGGTTGGGAAGTATATTCGGAACTGATCCCGGAGCCTTCCCGTGGGTCGTGTCCCTTTGTCTTTAAGCTTCCGGCCGACGCGCGCGTTGTACTCTTGCATGCCATCGTCCCCTGACAGATGCACGTTAGCCAGGCAAAAGAAGCTGAGTGAACGAGCAAGTAGGGTGGCTGGTGAGTGGCTTACCTTGACAGGCATTATATACCGCGTTGATGAGGTCGTAATTGATGGAACCAAGCGACGCACACTAGACAACGAGTTAGACCTGGGAGTATGCAGTACGACGAGCTGGGGGGCTACTGACAGCCAGGTCGACTTCAATAGGTGTGTCCGTAGCCAGGCCGAGACCCCTTACAGTCGCTCCCAAGCCACAATAACCTGAGAATAGAGAGAATTTGTCGTCAGCACATTGTACATGCCTTCCAGAGGGAGGGAGGGGCAAGCACCACTCACCGACCTGACGGAGAGCCTCCCCCATGTGACCTCCTGGTCTAGACTTAGTTAGGACAGCAAAATAAAAAGAAACGCATGTCCTGGTGGTTACATACATGGAGTAAACAAACCCGAGGTTTGCTGTTGCGGAAAAATCGTAGTTTGCGATGCTCTCAACCATGGCCTCATCTACGCCAGATGCTTTTAGGAACCTGGCCACATTCTCCCCAAAGACAGTCATTGTGCGGTTACCGCTAGCTTCCAAACGGGGTAAATCGATGAGAAATACCATCTGCGATCATATAAATCCATTAGTTGATGTTCTGCGATCAAAGTACCGCCGATTTAATGGAAAGGCACAGACATTCTCCATCACTCCAGTTTCGCCCCAGTCATAGGGCACCAGATTTCCTGACGGGATCACTAATCTGAGGTATTTGGGGAATTTCAAGAACTGTAGCTTGGAATGCATCGATCCTGGACCGTTCATTGGCGGGAAGCAAAATCTGATGTTCTTGGGCACATTACCCCTCATCAATTGTTTCTGTTCACAGCCACAAGTCAGCTTGATGACAGCTTTGATCAACCCCGGAAAATCTGGCACATTACCTGTTCTTCGCTCGCTGCGAAAGCAAGGAGCAGTATACGTGTTTTGCTGGCATTGAGCTTGGATAGAAGCCACTCTTCGTCCCACTGGAAAGAGGACAGTAGAGCAAGTTGAAGGTCATCCTTTTGTAAAATTTCTTCAACAGTGATATCATCGGAAGTTTTAGGATACCCTCGGGTCCATGTGCGTCGCACAGTTCCTTGGAGGTATCGCGGTTGCGAGCTTTCTGCTCGTTCAGAACGCTGTGATGTCAACCTCTTCATGTCAGGCTCCTGGGTGCTACCTTCGATAGAATTTCGGCGCCGCTTTCCAAGTCGATTCAACCGTGACTCTTCCATTTCTTTCCGATTCAGGAGCATACCAGCGAATGTGGCATGATTCGCGGGCGCGGAAGTTCCGGCATCCGAGGAGGCATCCGCAGCCGCGTCGTTCATCTGAATTTGGTCTTGAAGTGACAGCTGAATAGCGCGGCGCAAGTCCTCATCTTCGTCGGAATCGCTATCGAGTGTAATAACTTCCTTTTCTGTCATTATTAATATCGGATGAGAGCCAAGACGGCGCAAATATTCCTCTCCAAAGCAAAAGACAATATTTAATGCCAGCAGCAAAGACTGCACGGCCCATGAAGCGTGAAGACGCGCACGTGATGACCGGACCCTGTGAGCCCTTGCGCCCGACAGATTGTCGACCTTGAACGCTTGAGTGAAAGACCGAGTCGATATTAACCATACTGGGAGCGCAATGTAGTAGAAAAATTGACGTCACGCGCGTTACCCAACATTCTGTTTCAGATGGCAAAAGTGACCAGTGCATTCAGCTGTCGGCCATGGCACTACAAACAACTCCCTACGAGACGAACCCGAAACGAGCTATTAAAATCCCGAAACACTTCTACACATGCAGCTGCGAGAGCACGAGTGTTATCATGATTACACAGTATCATTCTCTCTCTAAAAGTATGTCAAGGTTGGGCAATTTCTCACAGTGGCGTTTGTGGGCGCGAGTGAGCGGTAGGTGATCACACTAGCAATCAGTACCAGAATTCGTGCCGACCAAAGGCCGTGTGACGTTGTTTCTATTCCAGATTCTACCCAGAACGAGTTTTGATCTGGCATACTCGATGCTATGTTTCCTGTCAGATGCTCACGATATAGCTCGCGTCTGCCATGCAAGCAATGGTTGTACACTGGCGCTCGTCAGCACTTATTTGCTGTCTCTGAGATCCCCCTTATCTGGTTTAATTGGTCACTGCTACCGTCATCTCGACGAATTGCCTTTTCTGTTCCGGGACTCTGCCGGATGTGGCGCCTGTGTCTTGTCATTTGATGTCGGCCGACTAGTCTTTGGCGCAGCGGCTTCCATGACGTGTCGATTGGGCGATCCACGGTCAACGTGGTTTAGCTAGCCATCGATGTGCCACCATAAAGGTTAGGTGGCCTCGACTGCTAAAGCCATGCGACTCTCGTCCTGTGGTTAGTACGAAAGAGTAAACAAAATGTCTCAATATACTGGTAAACGGCAACACGTTGCCATCGTTGGCGGTGGTGCTGCGGGTATGGTGAGTTTTTGGCCGTCGTAATGCCCTCGAGCAACATAGAAAGCTAACGCCGCCGCGCTAGGCATGTGCGGCAACACTTGCAAGCCACCCCGATAGATTCAAAGTCGTGTTGATAGAGAAAGAGGCGGTGGTAGGTGGTCAAGCAACTTCAATTGCTCTCGATGTCCAGCAATATGGCGCTTCGTGGATGAACAATGGCGTTCAGGGCGGCTCAGCTGTAGGTCAAGCACGTTTATCATTCAGTGCGCTCTTTGCTTACATATTCCAAGATCTTCAAACACACTTTCAACTTCTTCCGACAATATGACCATCCACCAGAGGAGGTTCGCCTTCAGGTTTCCTTCGGGAAAGGGAAGGATCGCTTCTGGACCAACTGCTTTCCAAGTCGCCTAGTCAAGCAGTTTTCGTCCGATATCAAACGATTTGGCACATTTCTCAAGGTCATCAAATGGAGTCTACCTGTGTTGGGCATAGTGCCCATTTCCGTGATGCTCAGAGTATTCTTGTTCAACAAGGACTTTGGCGACAAGATGGTATATCCTCTCATTGCCTTATTCCTGGGTACTGGAAATCAAACTGCGTCAGTACCATCTGGCATTGTGGAACGTCTCTTTAATGACCCAAATATGAAACTATGGGACTATGATTCAGAGACTTTGCTACCAAATTTGCCTACTATGTACACATTTGACAAGCTTCATGGCTTCTATTCGGCGTGGCGGGAGGATCTGACGGCCAAGGGAGTCTCTTTCGCCTTGGAAACCGAAGTTCAGGAGACAGTATCTAGGTCGAAGAATAATGTCGTTCTGAAGCTAAGAAATACACGCTCGAAGGAAAGCAGAGAGGAGAGCTTTGACAAGGTTGTCTTTTGTTCCCTCGCGGACGAGACACTTCGGATTTTAGGCAAGACGGCGACTTGGCGAGAAAAGTTTGTTCTGGGTGGTGCAGCTTTCTATGATGATATTACCGTCACACATACAGACAGCTCCTATTTCAACGAGCATTACGAAACACGTTTCAAGGAGGATCTCTGCGCTGAACCAACATCAGAAGCACAAAGAAAGCAAATTGCTTTCTCAAATCCGGCCGAATCAAACTCAGACACCGGATTTCGACCGATGTACTATACTTACACCTACGACAGCAACCCAAAGCTGATTGAAATGTCATTCAACTGCAGCAATTACCAGCACCAGTTTCGGAAATGCCAAGCCAGCAATGAAAGCACACCAAAACCGGTGTACCAAACAATATTTCTGAACAAAGAACGAAGAGATCTCTGGACTATCGACAAGATTGATGAGAGTCAAGTTATTGCGAAAAATTGGTGGCATCAGCTGGGGCATCGCTGGATCCATTACCTACGACTTGTTCCAAATATGATGTTCATTCAAGGCAGGAGCAGCACCTACTTCGCCGGATCATGGACGTTGGTTGTAAGTCTGATCAATATGGTCAATGTTTCTCGTCTAACCTACAATGTCTAGAATATGCACGAAGTAGCCTGCGTGAGTGGCGTTGCCGCGGCATATCGGTTAGGCGCTGATTATGATCGATTCGATGATTTCGCTACGGACTTTTTCTCTAAGTATTTACTTCTTTCACATGGGGTTAGCTTCTCTCGGCAGGAAAATAAAAGACGGAATGGAAATCAAGACTCGCGGTAAGGAGACGACCTGGTAAAATCAGTCTGCATAGGTTGACAATAGGTGAAATTCGGTTTCGGAAAGATAACTGTCCTAGAAAATAGCTTGTCTTTCGTTCATTACATGCAACCGTCTGTAATTATAAGTTCATTAACCCAGTGTCTCAGTCACCACGCGGCAGATCTTATCTTCAAATAAGGATGAGTCCAGTACCCATTTGAGCAGAGGCATGCATCAACGGGACATAAAGAATTCCCAAAGAAAGAGTACATGAGTTCAGAAGTAAAAAAAAAGTCGAATTTCCCCACAAGAAATGTAACAAGGAATCTCCGATTCCGATTCTGGCCCGCGATGGTTTTGAGAGCAGGCGATAGAAACAATATAGAAGGCTTAGGAATTGATGCCATGCTTCCATCGAACGTATAAGGTAAGCAGTTGATCGGTGTAGTTTGTGAGATACAAGAGCAACAAGAGCCGAATGGATAATGAGCGAGCGCAAAAGGGAGCGAGATTGAAACTCATCCGGAGAGCCAAGTATATAGTAAAGCAGGAAAGAATCAGCATAAATCGAAGTGCCAGTACGTCGTGTATAACATGAGAGCAAACATCCTAAGAAGAAGAGTCCAGCTTCAAAATGCGGCGAAGATCATTCTCCATCGCCTGAATATTATCGCCGCGACCGTGACCGTTACCATCAGCCTGTCCAGCAGGCTGATTATAGGCTGGAGGAGGTTGTTGGATAGAAGATGCGGAGGAAAGTGAAGATTTAGTCGCCTGCTGACCCCCACCAAATAGAAATTTCTTCAGTGCAGCGGTGGCATCATCGGTGGATGAGCTATTAGTAGATGCAGTATTTTGGGGAGGTATCGGAGGAGCAGAGGCGCGCGAGGCGCGCGCAGCGCGAATACGTTCGTGATAGGGTGTCGAGAATGCAGGTCCAATTTCGTGACTTGGCGTACCATCGAGCTCAGCTCGATCAAAACCACCGGTTTGATATCGAATGCTTGCTGGTGCAGTCTGTGGTAGGTTTACCTGAGGCGATATACCCGAACTGCCGTTGAAGAAGGATGGCGAGTCCTGGCCATCGTGATGAGATGAGCCAAGCTGTCTCTTTTGCTCTTGCCTATGGGCGCGAAACATGAAATCTAAAGGCGACTCGTCGACTCGCGGAGCTGAAGTTGAGTATGGTGCAGATTCTTCGTTGTCCGTGGTTGGCGGCGAATATCGGTGATCATTGGGACGGCGGGCAACACTAGCCGGAGATTCGCTGGACGCCTTAGAAAGAAAACTTGGGATGGGGAGTGCCGATGGGGCGGGAGACGCGTGGAAAGTGGCTCCAGCGAAAGCTGCAACTGGATTACCAGCCTTCATGGAAGCCCTTCGTCCGGTCGGCGTGGCTCTTTCTGTCTGTGCGTCTGGAGAAACGTGCGCGCCTTTTCCTTTGCCTCCTCGATTATGATGTCGTTGCTTCGAGTTAGCCTGGGCTGATGACTGGCTTCCCGGCGTTGGCGTCCCCGAAAGACCCTTGCTAGGTGTATGCGGCGTTCTCTGATAGAGACTGGGTTCGAAAAATCCGACATCATTTTCCGAAGCATAGGCTTTGTGGGCCGCTGCTCTCCCTGTGCGGCGTTGCCGATGGCGGCCGGGAGTTGCTTTCGGTTGGTTGGTTGCGTCGCTCATGGCAAACCGTGATCTCTTCGATGAAATCCAAGGTGCTTTGGCATAAGCTGGGCAATTGCGACGCGGTTCTGCGCTGTTCTCGGTGGTTTGAGTTTGACTGTTAAACAGCAACCATTGATGTGTCTGGCTGGAATGAAACTTCAAGGGTGAAAGAGTAGTTGATTGTGCAAGAGCAGATGCGTGTCATGGCTGAAAAATGAGTGAAGAGAAGAGGCTGGAGGGTTGGCAGTTTTGCAAGCCAAACGGATTGCGGACTGCCATGGGCTGCCGTTGATGTTACGCAGATCAAGGTGGCGGGTTGCCCCGGTACATACATATTAGCCACCTATCGATAGTAAGTACCCGATACCTCGCAGTCCCAAATATAATGATAGTGCCAGAGAGTATATGTTACTTCTGTCTGCAGGAACCCCCGCAACCCGCCATCGAGCTCAGGCTCTAACTACGGTTACGGGTGCTTCAACATTGGAGCAACTCCGCATCGTTCTCTGGTGCTCCAGAAGATCCAACTTCCGAGGGCCACAACACCACAACGGCACCGATCTGAGTAATACTATCGGGAAACTGTACTTCATGATAGTATGTCTACCCAAGCTCTCACAGTAGAGCATTATCATCCAGCGCTATTGTTTGTGTCTCCATCAAGGTGCGGCTGCCTATTGAGCGGGTTGGCCGCTTCATCACCGACTGGCAGCGTCATCATAAAAGCGGACTGCAAGGAGCTTGCCACTGTCTCAGCTGCAACTCCTGCAAAGTTTTCTACTGACTTGATACTCTAGTCGTCTTTATTCATTCCTCAATCCACGAAAAACGCTCGATCGAAATCTACAATCGCACGGCAAACGGCATGGCCGACGTCGAAATGAGCGACGCGCCCAGAGGTGCAGACACCGCAAACGGCAAGAGCGCCGAAAAGAAGAAATTCGAGGTCAAGAAGGTTCGATATCAAATGACTACATATATATAGGATTGGTGATACTGATTACCGTAGTGGAATGCCGTCGCGCTCTGGGCTTGGGATATTGTCGTTGATAACTGTGCCATTTGCCGAAACCACATCATGGATCTCTGTACGTTTGCCGCCGATTTTAAACCGGCCAGTGTGTTTAGCTCTGACCGTACGACTCAACAGGTATCGAGTGCCAAGCGAATCAAGCATCCGCTACGAGCGAGGAATGCACTGTTGCTTGGGGCATCTGCAACGTGAGTTATCCGGGTGTCCAGAAAAGGACTTGCACAATGAGATCGCTAACAGAGTTACCTTTAGCATGCCTTCCATTTCCACTGTATTTCACGATGGTTGAAGGCAAGATCGGTATGTCCCTTGGACAACAGAGACTGGGAATTCCAAAAATACGGTCGATAGACGAGGTTGCTGCAGTATAGAAATTCATGCAGGCATATGATGAAGCGGGTAATCAGTAACGACAAGAGTCATGAAATCAGTAGTGATCGCTAGTTTGTATTATAGCTGTTGCTTGAAGCACCTAGTCCTCTTCACAGATTCTTTCACAGTGTCATTTGGCCATATGCATTCTTCATCCCAGCTCCAGCCGGGAGCCATACAACAGGATGTTTCTTGTAGAATGGCCACGGAGGTACAGTGATAAGGAATGTGAGGGCAGTGCCACCGAGGGCAATGTATACTGCTTTTTGAATATCTTGAAGAGTATATCCGACGTTGAATGCGATCAGCTTAGTGACGAGGCGTTAGCAAGCTGGCATTCAGGCTCTTGTGCCACAAAGAATCTTACTGCAGATGCGGACAGAAGTAACGTAGCCAAGAATTCCACACGTCTCTGGCCATCGAAATCCTGTATGCCTAATTAGCAGTTGAGAGTACTGAAGATGCAGACTTCCGCGTCTGCAAAGGGGTTGGCGCCGCACTATCTGTCCATCAACCACGTCGCGAACTTGATCAAGTATTTGTTCGGCCATGGCTTGTACGAAGGCGCATTGGGTACCGAGAGTGTCAAGTACGAATTTCGACGTCAGGCTGTTGCGCGTTTGCGGTTGTTGGAGCTGGCCAAAGGACAGGTATGGTATGGTTAGGATGACCTTAGCGCGATTCGGTGTCTAGCGCACAGGCCAGGTGACCGTCAATGGATTAGAAACTTGGCAGGCACATTGGAGTGGTGGCACTCTGACAGTATTTTTCATGCGTAACTTTACGGGGTCCTCTTTCTGGCTTGTCACCAAAGGTCAAATTTTTCTTCAGCATTCTGCATCAGGTCTCACCTTTACCATCAACAATCCCACTGCGTCATCCTTACACCTGCGTGCGAGCTGTATCATTCATCTTCACTGGGGTAATCGTTTCTCAGCCTTTTCCTGCTGCCAACAGCTGCGCCGGCTCGAACGCCATCCTCATCAACGGCTTCCTCAAAGCGAAGAAAGTGTATGTGTCAGAATCAGATGCGGTGACTCGCAGTAGCTCAGTCAAATTCTGCCCTACTACCAAATCAAAACACGAGGCAATCCTCAGAATTCTTTCAAGTCACCAAGTTGGCTCAACTCGCCCTCTCCTCGTCTTCAATCCTCCTTGGTCCAGGCTGCTGGATCTACAGCGGAGTCAATAAGCGACCGCCATAACTGGGCCTAGCGACACAAATTTGACGCTACACCGTGTACCACAGTTGATTTTCTGCTTTTTGCGTATATCAAAGCGCGATCCTATTGCTCGCGACAAACTCAAGAGTTTTGAACGCCGCTCATACTCGGCGCGGTAACCCGCGCCGGGCGCTACGGTCGTCTTGGAGACGCTATTTCCACAACATCTTGCTTCGCAAAGCATGTTCCTCCTTTGCTGAGTGAATATTGAAACAGTGGCACAATCCTTTGTCGCAGAAGAAGAGTTCCCACACCCTCGAAAGCCGAAGTCCAACGATCGCATTTCAGAATGTCGGACAACGAGAGCGCAACTTCCAATACCAGGTTCCAGGCGCCAGTGCCTGAGTTGGATGATCACCGCCGCCCGTCAATTACTACCCAGAGAGTTGAGCGGCCTCGTCGAGGCACCTTCGACAGTCTTTATGGCTCTCGACAGATTGAGCAGGAGCCGGATACGCCAGCCATATATGTTCGCGACTTCGAAGAAGCTGTCATTGATGAAGAAGGCGCCGACCTCATAGCAGGGAACCGTCATGGACGACGCCTTACCGCCGAGTCTAGCGAGAGCCGTTCTCCTTCCCCTCCAAACTCTGTCAAGGCATTCGCCCAAGCCAGACGAAGGGAACGAGAAATGTCATTCTCAGACCCAAAAGGAGACCACGAAGAGTTGCTGGGGCTTGGGCGGGCCCTTTCTGTATCCAGTCGCCGCAGTCACCGCAGCAGATCTCGCGTCGCTGAAGCCGATGCCGTGAGCCTCGGAACTAGCAACGCTGCTGAAGATAGCGTAGGCGTGCCGGACAATGTCCATCATAGACAACACCAGCTTCGAATCGACTTCGACTATCTAGAGGAGTTCATCGAGTCTGAGCGCCTTGCCCATGAAGCAAACCGCAAAGCGTCTGTTGCGTCTGCTGTCAACGATGTTCGCATGGAGGCCGGTTCACAGAAAGTCCAGCTTGCCACGTCTGATGGGGATATCATTGATATGCCATCTGACGTATCTTCGTCGTCACCGGAAAAGCCTACCTCAGAGTCCGTTCCCGGAGTAAAAAGCTCGCAATATGCTTTCGACAACAACCGTTTCAGCTTCTTCTCTTCAGCCTGGGAATCCACTATCCATGCGGCTGAATTTGGTGACCTTGTTCTACCTGGTGAAGATATTCGTGGACTATTTGAGCTTCCAAAGGATGAAAGTGGCGGCGTATGGTGGCTCAACATCAATCGAGCGACCAAAGAGGGGGTTTTGAGCATCTGCAAGGCTTTTGGTGTCCATCCTCTTACTATCGAAGACATTGTCACACAAGAAGCCCGGGAGAAAATCGAGCTATTCCCCTCCTACTACTTTGCCTGTTTTCGATCTTTCAACATGGTCGATGAGCAAGATGGAATCGAGTACGAACCTTTCAATATCTACACCCTGGTCTTCCGAGAGGGCACTCTGAGTTTTAGTTTTGCACCGAATTCGCATGCATCGCACGTGCGAAGGCGAATCACTGCGCTCAAAGACTACGTAGCCCTCAGCAGTGACTGGATTTGCTACGCATTAATGTAAGCATAAACTCTTTCTGAATAGCTACATGTTTATACTGACCAACCGCCCCAATAGCGATGACATCGTCGACTGTTTCGCTCCTGTCATTAACCAAATCGAGACCGAAGCAGATGCAATTGAAGATGAAGTCTTCGTCATGAGACATGATGACTCAAGCACGTTCCTTCGTTCAATCGGACGCGTGCGCAAGAACTGCATGGCACTGCTACGCTTGCTTGGTGGCAAAGCAGACGTTCTTCGAGGCTTTACTAAGCGATGTAATGAGAATTACCAGGTCACGCCTCATATGGACATTGGCATGTATCTTGGAGATATCCAGGATCACGTTGTGACCATGGCAAACAACTTGGGCCACTGTGAAAAGCTACTTTCTCGCGCGCACAGCAATTATCTCGCCACTTTGTCCATCAACAACATTTCTCAGGGAACTGACACAAACCGCGTCCTCAGCAAGATCACATTCCTTGCCTCTGTTCTGGTGCCCCTTAACCTGGTGAGCGGTATGTTTGGTATGAACGTCAGAGTGCCTTTCCAGAACGACAAGGTAGATTCTCTGGGTCCGTTCTTTGGTATTCTGAGCTTCATGATTGTACTTTGCTCTCTCATTTTGGGATGGGCTCGTTGGAAGCGATATATCTAGTTATTTTGGGTATGTTTGGCTTTTATGTCTTCATGCATGCAACGTATAAAATCCGCCCTTCTCTGTCTATATTTTTCTTGGGTATATGAGGCATTCGGGTATTAGTAACAGTAGACATACAGAGAGTACAACAGTTTCATATTTTCCCAGTACATAACTAGTAGAGCTCGAATACTAGCAGGCTGTGGGTCTGCCAGTGAGAGCTCATTTGCTGTCCCCAGTTATCTGCTGGTAACGAAAAAAACTTGAGACCTCGGCCGTCTGGGCATTTGGCCTCGTGCGAATCTTTTCGACTTCAACCTGACTTCTGTACGAGTCTGGACGACTATTTCCAAAGTGGAACATCTCACGTATCATTGCAAAAGCAATGGAAAACACTGAGGCTCTGTCTCGCCTCAATGATGGCGACAAGGCTGAACTCCAAAAATTTCTGGCTAACGAACAACAGCGTTCCTCAATTCAGATGGGTAAGTTGGCGCCATGCATCAAGGTCAATTATGTATTCAATGTCGGAAAATATATCTAACGGCTCTCTTCGTAGAAACACATAAGTTGACACAGACGTGTTGGAAGAAATGCGTGATCAGCTCGATGAAGAACCCGAAGCTCGACAGATCGGAAGAGACATGCCTCGCCAATTGCGTCGATCGATTCTTGGACCTCAGCCAACTCACGATTAAACATCTCAACAACATGCGTTCCTGATCTTTTGGCAGAAAAGGCGCGCCAATCAGTGCTGGAAGACGCTTGACCGGCATTCTGAAGGACGATGACACATGGCGCGGATTACATTGTAAATTATTGGGATATCTTGAACATGAACCTTGCGTGGGCAATATAGTAACAATGGCGCCAAACACCAGATAGTGAAGCAAGTGCGTTACCCGAAACAGTCACAAAGCATCAAGAGGCGCATCGGTTGGGTGAGACGGGAACTGGCTTGGGTCTTCTTTCCCTTGAAATATCATCATTTGAGACCGAAGCTATAGACAAAGCTCTTTATACGCCTATTTTCCGGATGCTTATGCATGCATTCAAGACCAGACCAAATTCGTGAAGAAACTCTCCCCTTTGCACACGATTGCTACAACAAGTCGCTTAGACCAGCGAGAGCTTGTTAGCAGCGATATCGAGAGCGTCGACATCAGGAGTAAGACGGGCATAAGCCTTCTTGGTTCCGTCGGGGCTAGTTTACACGCGCGTTAGTTAAAGTTGATTGCAGCTGAGCTGTGCTATTGTATCGTAAGACGTACCGGATCAGGGTGTTGATCTTAACGGTGTCGATGTCATAGAGCTTCTTCAGGGCACCCTTGATCTGAGCCTTGTTGGCCTTGATGTCGACAATGAAGACGAGGGTGTTGTTTTCCTCCATCTTCTTCATGGCGCTCTCGGTGTTGAGAGGGTGGATGACGATCTTGTGCTCATCGAGGCGAGGCAGGTGAGGGATCGACTTGCGGGGGAACTTCGGTTTGCGGGCCAGGGCCAGAGTCTTGGGCTGATGAAAGGTAGTGCTCAGGCGGACCTTGCGCTGCTTTTGGGCGTGAGTTCCCTTGAGAGCAGACTTGGCGGCGGCGTTGGCCTGCTTGGAGCCCTTGGGGGCAGCTACAATGTAGAATACGCATCAGCAATCGCTCTATTTCAGAACTCGCAAAGTCTGCTACTGCATTGATGCGGAAGCCGGAGACAACATGACAAAGGCTACGCGAGAAGCCAACCCCGTTTCTTGCCGGCCTGGTGCGTGCAGTCGGCCATTGTCAATTGCTCTCGTCCTCGTTTCGATGTAGTATCGGTTCGCAATTCGAAGAATTTCTTCCCATCGGATTGTTTTGCAGTGTATCGCAGTTTCGTTTCGAATGATTTCATTCCGTACCTTTCTTGTTACCGGCGGCCATTGTATTGGTTTGCAGCGCAATTTGCTGTTGTGGTTAGTTCGTAGGCTGGAAAGAAAAGAGGGCTTGTGATAAATTTGTTCGATGTGGGCGAATTTTCCTTAGGGTTGAGTGTGTGCGAGTGCAATCGCACGCTGCCATTGGCCAGAGTGACTGACCCGTAATTCCACGTGACAAATTTCCGTTTCATTGCTCTGCGTGCAACATACACTGAACGCCATGTACCCACTCAGCCGTCAGTAACAATAGAAAAGCGCAGCCTTACATGTTTCATTTTTATATCTTTCAGTTGATCGCGGAAATTTCACGGGATGACTAGGATGTATCTCCGAACTACGGAAGCCACTATGTAGCTTCTTTCTCTCAGAGCTCCCATCAATACTACTGTGAAACATCTTCTGAAAGGTATATCTGAGCTTTATGCAAAGTGCTAAATTTACAAGTCAAGGCTAATGTTCTCTTTGTAGATAATTGGCTCAAACTAGTGTATATATATTGTCTCTGTAGCTATGGCCAGGAAGAAGGCTCTGAAAAGTCTCAAAGCTGGCCGCCCGCCTCTCACTCGGCCATCCGGCACCATGTCACGAAAGGCGAGTCGTACACTCATCAATAAGCATCACCAACTTGACAAACAGAGACGTCAGGCAGCTTCGAAGGGTGACAGGGCTACCGAAGAAGCCATAGCTGCGGAAATTGAAAGCCTAGGCGGTATTTCACTTTACCAACAAGCTAGTCTACAAGGGCAGAGCACGGAGCGCGGGGGGGACACATCCAGGCTACTGCTTGAGTGGCTTCCTGTAGAAGAGTTAAAGGACTCGGGCCGTATATTGCGGCTGCTGGAAGTCGGCGCCTTGAGTACCAGGAACGCTTGCTCCCTCAGTGGATTATTTGAATCGGTGCATATCGACCTCAATAGCCAGGAACCCGGTATTCTGCAGCAAGACTTTATGGACAGGCGAGTGCCAACCGATGACGAGGATCGGTTTGATGTTTTGTCTTTGAGCCTGGTCCTCAACTTTGTGCCAGATGCAGCACTTCGGGGCGAAATGCTGAAGCGTACGCGGGAGTTCCTACGCGGCACTCACACTTCTACGGAGGCTAGGGCTGAGGAGTTCTTCCCGTGTCTTTTCATTGTTTTACCACGAAGCTGTCTCGACAATTCTCGTTACTTCACCGAATCGAAGTTCGAGTCGATCATGAGCATGCTCGGATACTCGATGACGCGGATGAAGATGACTCAGAAGCTTGCATACAGCCTGTGGCGAAAGGCTGCCGCAGCAAACATTGCCAGGGTTTCAAAGAAAGAGATCAACCCGGGTCGAATCAGGAACAACTTTGTTATAACACTACAGCATTAGCTATGAAGCCTAGGTATCCTATTAAACCACGACGCTAGCCCAATAGTTAGATCTTATATTGTTCATTTATTTACCAAGCGTCCGCGCCATCGCGCGATCTGCTTCGCCGCATGTTGCCGAAGTCAATGCTGATACAAGTCTGCAATAGAACATTGGGCGTGGACTAAGCAGAAACAAAGGAAGACACAGCTGAACTGGTCAGTGGGTGATCCACAGGCAGAGGTGCATTCCCTGGGCGGACGACAGGATAGCTCTGCATGCCGGCGGCTCGTGCAGCGTCGACTTCTTTGACATTGTCACTCAAGAAGAGCCAGCGACCAGGCTTCGTGTCTGGAACGGCTGAAAGAATTCGAGTGTAGCTCTCAGCCTCAGTCTTTGGTCCAGCATTTACAGTATCAAACCAAGCCGATATGAAATGCGTCATATCGGAAGGATCACCCGTCGTGTGGCCAAAGAAGAGCTTTTGAGCAGGGACCGAGCCGGAAGAGTAGATCATGATCTTCTTACCAGTAGAGCGGGCAGACTTGATGAAAGCAGGGACATCGTCGAACAGAGGAGCTTTGAGCACCCCAGTTTCATAGCCATATCTCCACAAGTGACCTTGGAGGGACTTGAGATAGGGAGCCTTCACATCGCGCTCGACTAGGTCCTGAACGTGAGCCTGTAGAGCGGCACGGTCGCTGCGGTACTCTTCCGGGAAGGCCTCCCGATACGGTGCAAAGGTCGAACTATCCCACTGCTCATCCAAGACTTTTGGGAGTGCTTTCAGGGCATACGGAAACTAGCCAGCAATACGATGGTCAGTCTCGTGCCGCTATGATTAGATAGGTGTTTTAGGCCAGCCACTTCGGTTGTTGCCCAGAAGCGAAGGGATACCGAGAGCAAACTTACCAAGATATCCTTGACAAAGGATATGGGACAAATGGTGCCCTCTATTAGCGACTTAGCAGGAGGACGTTGGGGGCGCTGTGAGAGAAACGGAGATTGCAGTATAGTAAAGCAGCGGGTAATGCGGGCAATGGGCGGACCAAAATGATGCGTGGCAGCCTCAGTATCAGTGTATCACACCAGCAGAAGCAATAAAAATGAACCATGCAAAACATCGCGGCAACCATACCAATATCGAGAAGAAGCACGTCAACTTCAGCGAGCATGGCTGCTAATTCCGTAGCGCCAATGGCAAAGAATTCTGGCAAGCCAAGATGTGAGGGAGCGGTGTGTGGTTCAGCGTTCTTTACAGCCTGAAACCCGTGGCTGGCTAGCGACAAGAAAAATCAGAAGAACGGGAATTTTATGCCTTGTGCATACATCAATTGGCCCTAGGCGAATCCGCAGAAGTCGTGAGCGTTCCTTCAGTCCCGCGTCCGTTAAAGTGGATGGACTTGTGCTTGCTTCCCTCGTCAATTCTTGGTAGTTAGAATGGCCAGATGATCCTGTTAGGTCAACTAGCGATGGAGACTTGGGCAGTAGTGCGAGTCCTCGGGGGCCAATAATCCCGTTGAAGCGGTCAGCGAGCGCGTCGCGAAACTGCGGTGCAGATACTGGTATGTGATGATGGGGGTATTTTCCCTTATTGCTCCACCTTGGCGAGCGGCTGTGGTGGGCTCTGAAGCACCAGCCGGATATGGCAAGAGTTTGTCTACCACTTGATGTAGGCCTCGTATGTATATTGATTATTTCTTGATCGCCATCGGATTTATTCTATTCCCTGCATGAGTTGAACGGCGGTGAAGAGGCGAAGCGCATGGCTGCCCGATTTGATGCTGGCAATGCAGGTCTCGCATGTGGATTCTACTTAAATATCGCTCGTCATATTGCGGTCCTTGTTGCATGCGTGCAGGGGTATCTAGCGGCGCGCTGTTTACGAATCAAAGAAGAGGCCCTACAGAAGTGTCGTTTTCTCACGCAGTACGGAGTACTGCTGCAACCGGAGTGGCTGACACGGCTCAAGGAGGTGGCTGGCAAGGCGTCTCGACACACGTATGCACAGTGCGGATGCCAACAGCTTGTTGCAAGTATCTGGAGCTCGAAACGCTTCAAAACAAAACAAACAACGTGGGGTACGCAGCTGCTGTGTTGCTGGAACATGGTGAAATTCTCCATTATCTGTTGCACGGTCAATCGCTATATGACGATATCTCATTGGAAGCAAATGGAAGCAGGATCATCAAGTATCATTCCAACCGAAGAAATCATCTCGATGGTGACTGAGAAAGGGATGAGTATGGGCTCATCGAGACACATGCATGTTCTGTGGCAATGATGAGTACAGTGGCACCTGATCGACTCACATTTCGCCTGGTTACTACGGGGGAAGCCGTCCACATGCCAGTGGTATATACAGATTAGTGTCAAGATCAATAATAATACCTGGCTGCAACTGCCATGGACCCAACTCTCAAAGGCCTTGGGCCAGCACGGCGGTAGCTTTAGCATGAGACAGGTATCTATTAGTTCTTATTATGTATTTTATTGCCATTGGCGCACTTCATCTCCCTGAAAGTCTGCAGTGTCCCCACAGTCGCTATGCTCTCCATCGCCTTGCAACAAGAAGCTCATGCAGGCACCACTGTAAGTAGTGCTCAGTTAAGGTCTTGATCCATCGTGTCGGCGGTGCAGGAGGATTTCAGTGTACGTTTTGTAAGGCGACGAAATTCGCCCACTCTGGTCATTGATATATCATTGAACGCAATTCTTTTTAGCAGGGGCAAGGGTGCAACTCGCGCAGCGATGTGGAGAGATTGACATCTCAAGCCTTGTGTATGGGAGTACCTATGTGGCCATCGAATGGCCTTGGATGCCCGCCAGGTGAAACGGGCGCGAATGCAACAGTGCCTCCTAATAAATAAACATCGGAGCTTGTTGGCAGCTTGGGCAAGAGGATCACAGATCAACAAGCACAGTGCACAATAAGTAAGTGCCGCGTTTGATGATGCCTGCAGCCATATGATGGCCGGGGCTGGAAGTTCTGCCAATAGGCCCTGTGCATGGCAGAAAATTCCCCAGGGACATGTTGATACAACTGATAGTAGTAGGAGAGGCACAGAGGGCTCACCAGCAAGCCTGACAGAGACCCCCGACTGAGGGATGGTTGAAACATAAGCATATTAAAAAAACACCTGTTCCTTAACAATCACCTTGCAAAAGACTAATTGCGGGTTGTTGCACTCCCCATTATTTACGGCGGTTATCCACGATGAATGAGTACGTTGGTGTGGTTGGAAACCGCAGGATGATTAATAGCTGCTGGATCGGCGCCCGAGAGCAAGAGACAAAATAACACCGTGGCAGCAGCGGGTGCTCTTTGTCAATCTTTGTTGGGCCGTGCTAGCGACGAGTGCCGCTTGACACATCTGTCAGGGCCGCAATCGCTCAGTGCGTCGACCTGACCTGAATGGCGTCAGCCAGGCTGATACTTAAAGTCATCACAGGCTGCTTCTGTTGGGAAGCTGGCCGAGGACCGAGCCAGCAGGTAGAATTCCATTGCCTGGCGCCGCAGTGGTACCTTGCTAGACGGTACCACGGACGGTTTGACCGAGGCAGTAATAAATAGTGTGAGCTGAGGGGAACGGATAAGTATACCGTGTGTGTGTTCTGATTTGGCACGGACTGGTCACTTGACCTCTCGTCATTTCGCTGCTGGGCTGCGTCTTTGTTCTTGTGCTCCACCGGGGAACCAAAGAGTTGTGGCGTGGTCGATAATAGATGAGGTGCTGGGACACAGCTGGGCACGCACCCATTGCCAGCTCGCCGATAAAGACGGCGTTTTGGTCTAGTCTACTTCACAGGTGGTGATACTGCGTAGTTGTTAGCGGGAACAATGACGCTCACGGAGACGGCACGCAAGTCGCAAGTACCGCACTATTTACGGCGCCCAGACAACGAATGGGTGAAAGGCTCCTTGGGTCCTCAATAATAGACTCGCACGGTAGTGTTGACACTGTATTTAGAGATGCGCCGCTGATCACACGCAGCCAATACGGTGCGAGAGACATGGTTTAAGCTAGTCCCGGCCGAGGTAGCTGGCGCCCGGCTGCAGGTGAACCCAGTCCGGACTAGTTCACTGTTCAGTCGTGGCAAGCCACAGAGATGCTGGTGAACGCACACAAGCAACATACACAAACACAGTACTCGTACAGCTCCACGAGCACCTCAACTTGGCTGGTGCTCAAGTGTGACAGGCTCATAATTTGACAGACAGCCAGAAACCTTCCTCGCACCGTGATATGTCAAGTATCACGTACCCAAACGTAATCGCACGCCAGCTGGTGCGCATGTAGGGGGCGACCTCGCCCGGTACTAGTCCGCGCTAGCCACACTACAGTTGCATCCCCTTCGCTCGCCTAGTCCGTCTTCGTACTGTGTGCACCGCACTGTGCACAGCACCTCTCATCAGCAGGTGCCTGTTATCCGCCGCAGCAGCGCCATCGAATCCCCACCACCCCAGAGCCACCGACCCAGCGACTGTCCTAGGTGCTTCGACTAGTGACCCCCCGTTCCACTCGCTTCCATCCAGTCCATTCTCATCACCGCCATTCCCTTACTCGCCCTTTACTTCCTTCCTTTCTCTACCTCTCCTCACCCTTCTTTATCTCGTCCTCCTCTCCTTCTTGTCCTTCCGTATTCCTCTCGCGGCTCGTCACAACTTCCGTCGTGAAGGCTTTCTTTCTCCTCGAGCTTGCAGCTCTTTTTTTGTGATCCGCCACCAACGGTGCGTCGCACACGCCAGAACGCCACCTCACAACCGTATCAAAACATCCAACAACCACCTCTCTGCAAGCAACAGCCCACGGCTTCCATTCGCCGCTCGACTACCGCTGTCAATCATTGTCGAGAGAAAGAAGGCTCATAGACTCGGCCACAAACGTCTTCATTTGGGGCCTTGCTGAACACTTCCGAGTGTCTTTGCCTCGCCTGCTGACGACCGACTCGCAACCCCGTCGCTCCGCCCCACCACGTCACGATCCGCCGGTCTCGGCTTCACGCAACAGTCACGCATCGAGGCACGCAAGTCTACCACACGGTCAATATATCTTGGTCGTTGAGATATTGTCCCGGTTTTGCTCTTACTCAAACGCTCCTACATCAACTTCCCTGCACGTTCCCCTCCGGACACCACACCCTCTTGCTGGTGACTGTTATACCTAGGGAGAGCTCAGCTCTGACAGGCTCCAGTTCGTCTGGCCCGACAAAGCCGCTCACTACTTCCCTTCATCAGCCTCTCCCCCTTTGAAATCCGTCTCAATACTCGACTGTCCAGTTCCCAGGCGGCCCCGTCCCACCCCGTCCTTGTTCTCCATTTTCCGGCAGCATCTCCGCTGTCAGATTCTTTTTTTTTACGTCCAAAATACACACACGACCTCGATGTCATTATAACGTCTCTTCTTCTTTTTCCCTTTCGGTTTTTTTCGAATCTCGGAAAGTCGCCATCGGCACCTGCCTAGTCGCTACTCAAGACGCTTCGACACAACATTTCATTTGTTCTACTATTGTCAAAACTTTCCAAATGAGCCATTGATTCAGCCACGACCTCCCATCAAAGTCACCCAATTCGAGCCGGGTGCATCATCGCTTTCTACACCATATCCACGCTACCTGTACATTCCAGCTTTAGCTCTTGCTTGCTTCGTTCATCCGTCGAATACCTCTTCCTATCGTCAAAACAACACTACACGCTACTCGATTTATCTGAACGAAAGCCGTTTTGAGGCTTTACGTTGCCCAGCACCTCTACTTCCACGACAAGCGATTCTACAGCAACCAAAATTCGTGCCTTCTGTACAACTACTGCCACCTTGATTTCTGCGTGCGTCTCATTGCATCTATTTTCCCAATTTTTCATTACTTCTATTTTTCCTTTATTATCCAATCTCATGAGCATGGAATGCTTGCGAGATAAATTTGTAGGAGGCGTTCTCCTGGACGGTGGTCGCTTCCAAACCCTTTCACCGCTCAATCACGGCTCTTTCGGCATGGTTTTCATGGCGCAAGATCTTGCATCCAATCAGCCGGTTGCGATCAAGTGCTTGACCAAGAAGGCAAGCCAAGGCGATACTTGCCCAGAGTTTGCTGTCGACGAACGCTCTGAGGAGTTGGTTCTTCATCGGACCATCAGCCCCCACAAGAATATCGTCAATCTCATTCATTCTTTCGAAACTGATGCTCATATTTATCTCGTATTGGAGTTCTGCGGCCAGGGCGATCTTTATGAGGCGATCCGCAACGGGCATGGACCTCTCCAGACTGAGCATGTTCGTCAATTCATGCTGGAGCTTGTGGACGCCGTCGAGTACATCCACTCGAAGGGCATCTATCACCGAGACATCAAGCCCGAAAACATCTTCCTCACTCAGGACGGTGCCATGAAGCTCGGTGACTTCGGTTTAGCTACGACTGACAAGTGGTCATACGAGATGACTGTCGGAAGTGACCGCTACATGGCTCCAGAGCAATTCGATTCTGCCGGCGCTGGCTACTCGCCAGCGGAGGCGGACATCTGGGCCATTGGTATTTGTCTTCTCAACATTCTGTTCTCTCGCAACCCCTTCACCACCCCGACTGAGGCTGATCCTCTCTTCCTCGATTACTCCCGGGACAAGCAAAGTTTGTTCGACGTCTTCCCTTCTATGTCTCAGGACACCTACGAAGTCATTGTTCAATGCATGAATTTGGATCCCAGGAGACGTTCCTTGATCGGGGCTAGAGAGGCTCTGTCGCGTGTTTTGTCATTCACCACTGAAGATGAGTCCCTAGACGACTTTTGCGGTGCTGAAAAGGCTACCATTGTCTCTGCGAACAGAGAGCCCCTGCGCACGCCATCCTTGCAAAGCCCCCAGGTCGAGTTCGGTGCCTTCCCTTGGAGTCGCGCTCTGCACGCTACTCCGCAGCGTGTAGGTCGCCAATTGAGCGCAATTCCCGATGACGAGAGTTACACCGAAGATCTCTTCTCCAAGTCCGAGAACACTGTCGACTGGTGTTCGGCTGCCCCTGAGACGCCGTCCATGTCTTCAACTTTGGAGTCGCATCTCATGCCAGCGATGAAGACCATGCCATTCAGTCAAACCAAGCGCTCCAAGGTCTCGCCTGCTGCTGGCTCCTTGCCGATTACCATGGCCAAGCCTCTTACGCTCTCCATGTCATCTGTCTTTGGTCGACGTGACACTGTTTCCAAGAGCTGGAGCGACATGTGGGATGAAGACGAAGAGGAAGAGGTCGAGCAGAAACGTGGGTCTCTCCAGGCTCTCAATTCACGCACATGGAGCCACGAGAGTGTGCGTGATGCCGAGAAGGAGAATTCGGTGCCTATTGCCGAGGCTACTCAGATCAATGGCGACGTTGATGGCGACTTCGTCGACGGTTTCTTCTTTCATGAGACCATTTTACCCAAGCCCATCCGGCCCGTGCCACGCTACTCTCCCCCTCCGAAGCGAAACAATTTCGACAAGTGGGCGGCCTTAGGTGAACGCCGCCGTGGAGGCACTACGATTGACAGTGAAAAGCCACTCGCTCTGAAGCATCGCCGTTCTTTTGGTTTGGGGTACAAGTCTAATGAGGTGGATATTTGGGATCATTCAGCACTGAGGAGCGCAATCAAGGACCGAGTTAATGAGTCGCCTACAGGCAAAGGTAGAGATCTGAATTGGCGTCGTGATCGACGGACAGATCTTGAGGATATTGAGTGGGTTGGTGGCTGGTAAGAGCCCTCTGGGCACCTTGCCTACCGTCAATCGTGGTCAAAGTCACCAACATTTTCGTGCAATTTGTAGAAGCCACGTTGTATTCAGCATGCTTCGCATATGAACGTGAGAGGTTGAGTCGCATTTTGACCCGCTTTCTGTGTATTAGATAGCCATCATAAATAGGAAATACCAGAGGTTACCCACTCACACACATGGTTCACTTGCCAGATTTGCAATGCTTCAAACCGATGTTGGAATGGTCGCATAGATTATGATTGACCTGAAAAGGAACCCTCTTCACTGGAGAAGGGTCCAACTAGGCACGTTGCACAGTAAGTTTCACGACATGTGGTGGCGGTGACACTACAGTAACGCCAATCGACAGCTAGGCGACACATATCTCACGTTCCTCGCATCACAGTTTGGTGAGACTTCTCAGACCAAAATAGGAAGAAACGTGTTACGAGAAATAGTTGTATTATATCAATTACCCATGAGAACGCATTGCATCTAGGCGTCAACTACACTCTTGGGCAAAAACGTGCAAGCCGTGCCCATCAAGCCCAGGACAGCGAACAAAACAATGATGGCCCAGGAGACGATGCGCTCCATCCGTGATATATTATTCCAGAAAAGCTTCAGATAGAATGCAATCGGCAAAATGACGGAGATGAGTGTGCAAAGAGCGGCGCCGAGAAACGCACAGACCGAGTCGAAAGCGGGAAAGACGATGGAGATGACGAGGAGAAGGACAACGACGCCGACGCGCACGCTGGCACGCTGTACACTTCGCACCCAGGGGCGGCCGATCTCGCCATTGCCGCTTTCGGTATGCTGCTGCGCCTCGAAATGAAGACCGAAGAGGACGTCGGCTGTGGTGATGAGCGGCCGCGAGCTAAGCGGGATCTTAGTGAGTGGGATGACGGCAACGCACACGCACATGAAGAGGGTGAGAGCCGGCGGAAAGCCGTCGGTGCGAAGGATGTTGGAGGTAATAGCCTCGCGGATGCCGTCTCCAAACATGAGAATGCCAATGATGGCGAGACAGGTATCCAATACGTACTGCGAGTTAGCTGCGTCAGTGGAAAAGGACGACGAAGTTCAAGTGTTGGGGATGGCGTACGGAGAACGAAAAGGTGACCCTGACAGCCTTGCCCCATTTATGGGGATGCCGCATATCTCGATAAATCTAAAACCACGTTTTTCATTGTCGGTAAGCTGTGAGAGTAACCCGAGCCGCGCTGGCAATGCTTACCGAGGGAAACACGGAATGCGCGCCCCAAGGACTGGCCATCAAGCCATACGCCAAAGGCAAAGCCAGCCAGTTCGATGGCCAGAGGTGAGTGTCGGCAGGCTCCCATAGCGAACCTGGGCTTTCCTTCTTAATCAGCCCATCAGTGATGACAATGCAAACAACTAAGCATTTCTCGTTAGCCACAGCCGCACACCAAACTAGCTCCCCCCCCTGTGTCCCACGTACTGCAAAACGTAGAAAAGATGCCCACGACGCTGGTGTAGCTCAGCCACCGCAGCGGCAGCATGTTCAAGAAAAAAACCAGTGCGGCGCAGACGCACTTCCACGTCGTGGTGTCGCCAACCTCGGGGAACAGCAAGTCCAGCGAGTCGGCAAAGAGGATGACGAGCGCGACACAGGCGGCCAGCAGCTCGAGCGTGAAGAGCGCCGACACGACGACGCGCGCGCGGGTGCCAAACGACACGTACGCCAGGTCCGAGTAGGTGATGAGGGTGACATCGCGGCGCATGCATCGCGCCAGAAGGTTGGCCGTGTGGGCCGTCACCGCCGCCGTGAGGGTGAGGATGCCGAGGCCCAGCACCCAGCCGCTCATGCGGAACGCCAGCGGCAGGCTCAGCATGCCGACGCCGATAATGGCGTTGATGGCGTTGAAGGTGGACTGCGGCAGCGTGCTCTGCCCGTCGACGGTAAGCACCACCTTATTGCCCTGCTTGACCTCCTTGACCAGGATCGGGTTCTCCTCGCCAAAGGCCGGGTCGTCGTGGACGAGCGAGCCGCCGCCGCCGCCGCCGCCGCTCGACCGCCGCCGCCGGCCGTGGTGGGCGATGGAGGCACGCGGCCGCAGGTTGCCCGAGATCATGGTGCCGTACTGTGAGCCGTAGCTTCCGATGATGGACGGCGACGAGAGGTGCGGCGCGGCAAAGATGCTTGACCGACTGGAGGATGAGTCGGATGGAAGCGCGCCGGCCGCCGTCTCGACGTCCAGAAGTTTGCCCTCGCGGGCGCGAAAGTCCTCCTGCGCGGCCCCGTCATCGCCGTCCAGCCCGTGACCAGCACAGGGTATCGATTCTGTGGGCGTTGCTGACCCTTCAAGATGCTGAGAGAGCAACCCCGAGCGGACGATAGGCGTTGCCTCGACGGGGCTGCGGGCATAGTATATCTCCTCCTCACTCGCGCCGTCCCGCCACTCGGCGGCGTCATTGTAGACGATGCTTGGCCGTCGGGGGATCACTTCGGCAAATTCGGCGGCGCGCTGCCAGCTGCGCGCAAAGGACCGAAAACTGTTGACGCCGCCGACATCAGCCATGGCCGAGAGGCGGTTTCCGACAGATGATCTATATGCGCGTGAGCAGTCAGTAATTCACTCCAACACACACACAAGATGGTCGTCAGCCCTTCAGCGCGGAAATAGACGTACCTCCTTCTTTCGCCTCGGGCAACCAAACGACCCGACTCTTCGTCGCTCAAATCGCCGCACTGTACCTCGTCATCATCATCAATCACTGCCTCCTCGGCCAGGTTGCCCGTGTTGAGGTTCCCGGACGACGAGGCACGCCCGTCATGCTCGCCCCATGTCACAGAATTGCAGTCTTGCAGCCGCGGTGCCATTGCTGGACTTGTCAAAGGGCCGGCTGCGTCGTGTCTGTGGAGATTTGTCACGGCGGCTGTGATGAACCCGCTCCCGATCAGTGGGCAGACTCTAACTTAGGCGGGGGGGGGTAGGAGGAGGTTGGGGGTGGGTGTCTGCTCGTACGTCACCAGGTAGGCATCGACACGGTTATCAGCGTGAGAATTTTTCACACAATTCCTTTTGTTCTTGCTCGAGGCGCGGGTAGAAGCATCAGTAGAGACAAAAGCTCGAGGGGCAAAGGACCAGCATGGTACGACTTGTGCGGCGCGTCCCAGTACATACCTACCCACCTAGGTACTATAACCCTTTCAATTAAGCACTCCGAGCAGCCACTAACTTGATGCGCGATGGCAGCATGTTAGCGCCTACCACAAAGCGGCTCTCCCGCGAAAACACATGAAAAAAAGTCCACTGATTTGCCCGTTCAAACAAAGCTTACCGAAGCTTACTGGTATCGCGGGTGTGTGGTGTGAGACAAAGATATTGCAGAACGTACGAAAAATAACACTCAATGAAAACTACAGGGTAGGCGTGTAGTAGGCTACATGCCAGGGCTGTCACAGGAGTAGTGACAATTGACCTCTAATAAAGAAGTCTAAAGATATGTCACTCTGCTTTCTTGTATATGATTCTGCTTAGACAAGCAGAGTAGCTAGTTGAGGTTCATGCATCCATTGACAACAATGTCATTGAGTATGCTGTAGCCCAGTAACTTTGCTACTTGCCTCGACAAAGGTCCCCCCAAAGTCAAAGAGAGGACAGGTAGTTAACTTCTCAATGTCTATCAGTAATAGCTATTGCTGTACCAATGCGCATTACATACTCATGTGAGCATTTACATTGCAACCCCCCATGAACCTGGTCACAACTATTACCGTCACTGTGCGAGAGGAAGGAAAGCCTACAAAGAATCATGCATGATGCAATATTGGGCTAAATAATGCAAAAGAGGGGGATATAGTCAGACATTAATACCTGGAAAGTACAGAGTATAAAATTTATACCTGTTGAACAGGGTATTAATCATGATTTATACCAGAAGAAGAGCCAGTTTACTCTATTATCCACGACATCACCTAGTCGCCTAACTAAGGGAGAACGGGCTGCTCGTGCCCGTGAAACCCTTTGCGCCCGCGCCATAATTTTTGGCATCACCATAGTACCTGAAACGGTACGTCCCCGGCGCGGCATTGCCCGCCGTGTCCCATTCAATGTCAACCTCTGACCGGCCGATGAACGTGCTCGTCTTGCGCCACGTAAACAGCAGAAACCAGTCCGAGTCGTCGCGGACCTGCGTCCACGTGCCATCGTCGCCCTTCTGCTCTACGGCGGCGTACGTACCCCCGAGGCGAAGGTTGTTGCGCGGGTTGGCGCCCTGAAACGTCACCTTGACGACCTCACCGCGCGTGTACGCCGGCCGCGGTCTCGCCACCTCGTCGCCATACGCGCGGCCAAAGGGCGTCGTGTCGTACAGGGAGGAAGGGAGCAGCCGTAGGGCTCGCTGCACGTTGTTGGGCGGCGTGGGACCGGCGGCTGGCTTGCCGGTCGCGTTGGCCTCGAGGTAGCGCATGTTGCTGGTGCTGAGACTGATATAGGCGTCCAGCTCGTGGCGACCATACAGGGTGGCCGCGCCCTCGTAACGCTGCATTTCGTACTCCTCTGACGTGGTTACGTAGTGGGCATATACGTTAACGGGGCTGCCGAGAACCACGATGGGATCCGCAACGTGTGTCGCCGCCTGCTTGGCCACGGCCTCCTTCCAGCGGCGCCCGCTCATCGTCGTGACTTCGCTAGGGCTCAAAATGACAAAGATTTGCCCGACGCGAAACATTTGAACGTCCACAATGTTGGGCTCCCAGGCATAGGGCCAGGAGATCTCGCCCGCAGACAGGAATATGGGCTTGGGTTTGTGGCATTCCACCTGAACCTGGGACGGCTTCTTGGCGATGTTCTGGACAAAGTCCCACCACGGGTTATGCGGTCGCCCAGCGTTTCCTTGGATAAAGTCAAACTCGCCGCGGCCATCGGTGGTGCCTGCTGCGAACGAGTAGCCTAGCGCCGCAGCGCACGTCTTGGCCTTGTCGCCGCTGGGGAGTTTGAACTCGAAGTCGGCCATGTCCTGGAAAAGATGGAATGACTTGACCGGGCCATGGATCGACGTCCAGTCATTGGACTTCATGATTCTCTGCACACCGTTGAACTGGCGGGTGGCAATCTCGTGACAACTCTTGGCACCAAAGTCGGGGAGGCCGGCGTAGGGACCGCGGCCTTGGCACTTGAGAACAGTGCCGTCCTTGCAAGTGGCATCCTCGAGGTGGCATTGGGCTTGCGAGCCATCTTCGCACCAAGCGCCCTCCACGTTGGGCGAAGCATCGCCCAGGTTCGCCTGGCTGAAGCCCGCGATAAAGTTATCGGCGTACTGACTGCTCGACTTGGCATCCTGCTCGACCATCCAGGCCGCGAGAGCCTTGTTGTCACCCGCAACGTGAGTATTGTTGCGGTACAGGGAGGTGCCGTGGGTCGGGAACCAATTGAGGACGCCCACAATTTTGTCGTCCTCGGAGCGTTTGAAGCGTAGAAGCGTCATGGTCTTGTCGGTCGAGTCGGCATATCGGGCACGTTCTTCACGGGGATTATTGAGGTAGGCCCACAGAGAGCGGTTGATGGAGGCATCCTTGATGTCCGTGGTTCCGACGTCTAAAGTCCCCTCCGTCAGGCTCTGGTGAGCGAGCTTGATGGCTTCAACAGTTCCATCCACGAGTGTATCGTAGCTCTGGTCGTTGAACCCAAGGCCAGGAATCTGAGGTGTCAGATAATTGTTCCAGCCACCGGGCGCAGAGTGGCTGTGAACAGCGGCGAGGGCGACATTCTGCTGGCCATACATCTTGTAGTCGTCGCCAAGTTTGGATAGAGCGTCGAGGACACCGAATCGGACACTTGTGTCGCCGACAAGCGCGTCGAGGACGACATAGATGATCCTGGCGCTGGGGTCCTCGGTGTCGCCAATGATGAAAGCACGCGCAAAGAGTCTCTGCCGGAGCCCGGATCCAATTTGTTGTAGATTGGCATAGCCTGTGAGTGCGACTTCGGCAACAGGACCTGTAATGTCTGCCTTGCCAACGCCGAGAAGGTACTTGTTTTCGCCCGCCTGTTCTTTGTAGCTCTGTTGACCAGAGCCTCCGTCGGAAGTGGAATTGCCCTTCAACGTAGCATTACCGACACGAGCATCGCCGCCGTCCCTGATGTTGATAGCGCGGAGGGCAGTAGCAGCATTAACAAAGAGCAGCGCTAATATCAGCGTGCAAAAGGTCTGAAATCGGGTGTTAGGCCGCATTGTGAAGGAGTGCCCAACCTCTTTCCACTGCAGAAGAGAAACACAGGCAAAAGAAGACAGACAAGGATGCAGAGAAAGATTGAAATCTGCGAATGTCTCCAAAACCATCCTACACAAGCCTGCGAATACCCTGGGCCCTGGTCAACTTTTAGCCATTCCCGCTCCCGAGGGCCGTGGCCGGAACAATTGACGAGCCCATCTCCTCTAGATCCGGTGAACAAGCCTGTGGTCCCAGGCACATCCGAGCGGGAGGAAGAACGTGAGAATGCTTGGGCCCTGTAAGCGGAGTCTCCTGTACTCTGATCGTCAATGATAGACATATAAGCCAAAATGAGAGAGCCATTGCTGATGCGCACAGTCCTCTTGCACATGGTACTGGCTTGCGGCATAATGGTGCGAATTTCGCAGACTCCATTTCAACAGACACGTAGATAAGACGTGCACGGACAGGCTTAATTGCCCTCGCGCTCGCTAGAGGGAAAGACAACAGCAAAAAGAGCATGTGACGATATATCAGTACGTAGCTGCCTACCTCTTGCATCGTACAACTTGATAGCTTATTAGTTACTGCACATCCCAAATAATAAATTACTAACCAGTCCTACCTTTTCTTCTGATTTAGCTTGTCGAGCGCAGCTAGTCCAAGTCAGAACGCTAAATTGAGAAGTTTGGACGTCCCTCCACCACGCGCACGGCTTCTCCGATTTTTCCCACCAGCACTGTATTGCCAACGGATCGAACTAGCAGACTACGGATGGAGCCTTTGGTAGGAAGTCCGAGAGATGGCCAGCCTCATCTATTCGTGCTAAGCACTCGTCAAGCCCCTGATCGACAGTCGATTGCCTCTGACGAGACGGACCTTGTGGCCGAAGCCGCAACACGGCATACGATTAATCCATCTCAGGCCGGCACTATCCGTCAAGGCTGTATTTGTCGCCTGGGTTAGAGGACGCTAATCAGTCCCCTACCACACGTCAACTAGCTAGTAGTTTGACGTCTGACATCGCTCGAATTATAGAGCGGAAAAGGAAAATCATCAAAGCACATGGTAAATCAACCCCCTGTTGGCTGTTGGGTTGTGTGCTCAATTCCCCGCATTTGCGAAGTAGTGGCGCACCTGCAGCTAAGAGCGAGAACAATATAGGATCCGAGGACATCATGAGGATATATATGAGTATGCGACCAGCTCCTTCTCCTCCGACCCGCTGCGCCAGCTATACAATAACAAAAAACATTAACTAAGAGGCATATCCTAGAACTCCGTCCAAATCTCACCAAAACCATAGATAATATTAAACATTGAATGGTGCTCCTCGATTATGACTCGGACGACCTCGGGCCCAGAATGCTGTCAGCGTTTTCCCAGGCCCACTTGTCGTCAATCTCGTAGCCGACCATGTAGGACTTGGGGTTTGCCTGGTTATAATCCCCTTGACGCACGGGAAGCACGGCAATACGCCGGACGCGGGACGCGGCCGGAATCTCCGCCGACGATGCCAGCGTCCTGCCCTGTTCCTCAACGGCCATGGCCCGCAGAGCGACTCCGAGCATCACTTTGCTGTCCCACACCCCCTCCAAGCGCTGCGATCTGGACATGAGCATAATCGCGCGCCTGCGGATACTTGGATCGCGACACTTGTGGATGATGCCGTAGAGCAACGGCACCACACCGATATGCATGTGGAACTGCGGACCCTTGCGCGTGCTAGCCATAGCGTCGTCCTGGTCAACCTGCGTCGCCGCCTCGGCGTGCTGAATCATTTCTCGAAACGCGTCTGTATGCGCATCCCAACGCAGCGGATCCTCCGCTGCGCCTGGAGGGCCGTCGAAGACGACGGTTTCCACGCCTACGTAAAGTCCCTGAAGTTCCAACAATGCAAGACCTCTCCTGCCCTCACAGGACGTGAGTTGCTCCGCGTACTCCTTCTTGAATTGTTCAAAAGCGGAACGCCACCATCGAAGCTTGACAGGAACCATACCCACGCCGCATTGATTATATGTCTCAAGCTCCAGTCGGAGGGTGCTAAGCGCGTGCTGGACCTGGTTGAGTGTGTGGAAGACTGGCTTCTCCTTCCAGGCAAACTGCTCGAAATCTAAGATTTCCGCCACCACGGTGGCAAGGTTGGGATCTACACCTTTGACTAGCTGCAGCGTAAAGCCCCGAGTCAGACATTTCCCAATGAAATCTGAATATTCTTGTAAGATGCACGTACCATGAATGCTTGCGTCGCAACGCGACTGAGAAAGACATCAGCCTCGGCAAAAAGTGCGCCTCGATCACGACCTGATGGTCCGTGTGATTCGGTATAGGCACAACAGGATCGCACGCGTTCTTCTTTCAAGATTGCATATCCTGTGACTAGCAGCTGCAGGACAGTCAATACTCTGCCACGAAGAACCTGTGGCGTGGAAAAGCATGTCAGTATAATTTGCGATTTAAGCCTAATTAGAGGTGATACATACCTCGATGCAGATGAAGAGAATGCACGAGATCAAATGCACATGGGCATTGCTCGAGTTTCGCTCTGAGCCCAGTATACTTTGAATGGACATGTTGTATTGTTTCAGAGCGAAGCGGTCGTGGTTTTCCGGGCCGGAGTAGCCATGGCGTACAAAATTCTCATGAAAGGACGACAACGCAACGACCGAATGCCATATGCCTTGATCCATGTTTGCCGTTTGAACTATATGTGATGTCCATATATCTTCTTGAATGAAAGTGAAGAGCTGCGACAATGTCTTTTCCTGAAAGTATTGAAACGAGCGCAACTCATTTGGAGGATACGTAACGTGCATCAATGTGACGAATCGTATGGGTTTGGTCTCGGGCAGAGGCTCGTAGCCGTCGCATTTGCGGCCAGTAGTGATACCTGTATAGTGACTGTGGTTAGAAACAGTATCTCGCAGCAATGCATGGCGCATGCATGGACAATTTATCGAGAGGAACATCTAACATCTTCTGCAAGAGGGTTGAGCTTCATCGCATTTCACGCGGCGGGCTGATACAAGTTAGCCCTGGAAAGACAACGTGCTTGTACAAGAAAAGCTGAGTGCACACCTCTGTAAAATGATCAAAAGCAATGCATGGTCAGCATAGTTTCTCCATGTCGCAATGTGTGATATTGGGCAGTTATAGCTTCGGCTCGCGCGGCAGGTACCGATATTGGTAGACAAGACACACAAAATCAAGAGGGTTTCGAAACGAGTATTGCCGACGCCATGATATGAGTAGCGAGCGAGTCATACCTGCTGGGAGAGGTGTGGTAGAAGGCACTTACTTGCATGTTCGGCAGCCGGTCCGAACCTTGGGGGCCTTGGCCCGGCGGCGCTGACCAGCTTTGACGTGTGTCATGATTCACCAATAGAGCGGTTTAGTGCTACTACCAGGGGCCAGAGGAGGCAGCGCGGCATTTGGTGAAGCGAGTATGCTCGTTTGTTGCTGGACTCGGTCGTGTGCTGGGGTTGGAGCGAGGCTGACGAGATCCCAGCCAGCCCTGTCCGGTCCTGTCCTGGACCCGGGAGGGGCGGGAGGAGACTGAGGGGTAGGACAATGTAGATCCTGGTGAGGGTCTCATGAGCGTGGGCTACGCGATTGATTGCTCGTCAGAGCCAGGTCCGTACAAGAGGAGGATTGCTGGGTGATGCTATAGGGGGGGCCAGGCCGTTTTATTAAGACGGGGCCTGCTTGGATCGACCTCGCGTGCAGCGGGGAAACCAGGTCAAATAATATCATGAATAATATAGACGGAGCTGAGACTGACTCAATTGCTTTCCCCTCTCGAGAATGAATGCTGCGTCATCGATAGGAGATGAACAGGCGCCGACCTTGCATTGGAATCAGGCAAAGAGAACTGCGGCGAGACGAAGTTGACCTGGAATTGGTTGGTTGAGCAAGTTGCTCAGGCGAAAAGTAAAGTAGTTATGTGCTGGTAGTTATGGAAAACCGCCTCTGCAAAGGAGAGCCAGCCAATCCGGCCCTCGGACCGCCACCCGTCCCACATGCAAAATAGATGACGACCAGCTGGCGTTGCTTTGATTCACTCCCACGAAGCGACGAATACCCATGTAGAAGTGGCCGCTTCAACTGAAACAGCACAAGAATAGTGCAAGCCAGCGAATGCCGTTTTTCGCGATGGGGATTGAATAAATCAAGCCACGACAACACGTAATGCCGTCCTTGCATGTCCACTATGCAGCACGGTGGCAGTCAAATTATCTAGTTAGCAAAAATCTAACAAAACTGGGCTCAAACTTAAAAACGACACCATAAACCCTTGCCCGCCAGGCCAGGCATCGCTCCATTACTCGCCGTAGCATGTCAGAGCCAGGAACCCTCACCCTTGCGGACCGTCTCGGGATTCGACCCAAGCTCAGTTCGTTCCAGCACGCTCGAATTTGCCCGCTGGATTCCCCGCTGAGTGACGATCTGAACTGCAAAGGCGGAGATATATAGTTGCGAGCACTTGTGATGGATGCGTCTTATCCTGCACCCCGCAATTTCGGCCGCGGCCGGACGTAAACCTGTCAGATGCCAGTGCCAACGCCAGCATAGGGCAACCAACATGGTTGATCGGCTTTTCTCTTGCGTCTTATTCTGCGTCAATGCCACGCAAGCCTCTAACTCAGTAGCCGAGCAATTTGGCCGCCTACCGACCCAGTTCTGGCTGGGCTGGCTGGGCGTAATATTACACTTCACAGGAGAACTGAATAAATAATCGACGCCCCGCCGCCATCAAGTGCCTCCACCACAAACCTACGATCAGTCCCTTCCAGGACCATTTTCTTACCATCCCACCGCGACCTTGCTCCGGCTGTCGCCCGACGACTCTTTTGCCCCTCCCGGCTCTGGTCCCTGGCACGAGTTCCGGAAATGCCCTGCCGAATCGCGCCCTTCTCACCCTTTTCGCCGAAGTAAAAACCCTTGCAACTGGCCATGGACCACTCCGTCTTCTTAGTCGCAGCCGACGCCGCCCTCACTACCAAGCTCGCGACCTTGCTGCCCATCCTCGATGCCTTCAACCACCGCCATCGCAACCAGCACAGCGCCTCACACTGGTGGTCTGCCTTTACATTGCTCCGTCGCGGCGCGCGCTCTCTTGCGGCGGACCTGCGCCGGCACCAGGCGCTGAGTCGGCTGCAAACCGACAGCAGCAATAAGAGCACCGCCGCTAAGACCAAGTCCAAGACTGCCAAGAAGCAGCTCCTCGCTCGCGTCACTCTTCTCCGTGACCACACTGTCCCCAAAGCGTACCTGTGAGTACGACCCTTGCTGCCTCTCTGCTCCTGCCCTGTCAATTGGACTGTCCGGGCAGTAATGTGACACCTCAAGCTTTGACTGATTTTGCAATTCGATAGCTGCTTTTCTCAACTCATCGCCGATAACCAACATGCCACCCTGGGACTTTTGCTCATGAGTGCCCTCGCGAGCGTCAACTCCACCCTCACTTCTATATCGCCGCCGCCGCAAGAGCCCGCTCTTCGTCCCTCGGCCGCGAGCTCCCCATTGCCGGACACGCACCCGACAGACTCGAAGTCCAAACATAAACAGTCCCAATTAGGCCACGATTCCAACATAGACAGAGGCGTGGCCGTCTCGAGAGACCGCATTACTGGCGTCGTGTCCAAATCATCCAAGCCGTTCAAGCCACCTCCCAACGAGGATGCAGCAGCAAAGGACAAGCACAGGAACCCCGTCGTGCCCAGCATAAAGCAATCAGACGATAGACCGAACAAGAAGAAAGCGAAGAAGAAGAAGGGCAAAGGCGATGAGCTGTCAAATCTATTCGGATCGTTGTGATGATGCAATAATAGACACGGCGGCTTTCCCCCTGTGCCGGTTCGTGTACTATACAGTATATCCAGCCTACATGACGCAACAATCAATAGATACTTTACGACTGTTTCATGACCGATTCAGACAACATTCAGAGCACAATTACTCTTATACTATAATATCATTCATTATCAAGACAAACATATCATTCATTATCAAGACAAACAAGTAGTAAGAAATTTGCCGTACCAAGTCGCCGTCAGGATAACTCCCAGGGGCATTCGGTTTCAGCATACATACAACGAGGCTATCGTTGTCCTTTTCCAGGCGCCTGAACTGCTTCCTGTTCCCCTTCCACCAGCTCCTCCAGAACAAAAAATTTACACACGCACATGTAGAATCGTACCTTTTTCTCCTTACCCCAAGTTTTCTCGTTTTACTCCCGAATTTCAACCATTGCAGAAATTTGCTAGCCAAAGAAAACCACAAACGTGAGTCGGGCCATGGCCAAGCTTAACTAATTTTTGGTGATAAAAGCTGGATATGACACACGAGATGAAACAACAAAAGCCAATGACTAAAAAAAGAGGTTCCAAATCCCACACAGCCAAAAAACGGTTGGGGGATATCACGACGCCATAAGACTGCCCGTTGCGGAAAGCATGTACCGTCATTAATAAGGACGGTACGACCAAATGCGAGCCTTCATATCGCCAGAACCAGTGGCAAAGTAGCCACCCTGGGGACTGGGCGCCACAGAGATGACCGAATTCTTGTGGCCCTGGAGCATGAGCTGTGTCGTGCCCGTGCGGGGATCCCAGAACTGCACGCCGCGGTCTTTGGAACCCGAGAGCACCCAATTGGCGTCGGGTGTGAGGGCCACGGAGAGGACGAAGTCGCGGTGGCCCTCAAAGGTCTTGACGCACTTGCCTCCCTTGGGCTGGGAATTGGGGCCGCCACGAGGACCGGTGAGCTCCCACATCTTGATGGTGCGGTCCAAGGAGCCAGACACGAGGTCCTTGCCGTTAGGGGAAAAGGCCACGGAGTAGACGGAATCCTTATGTCCATCGGGACCCTCAAGGCGCTCCACCAGAAAGCCGGAGTGAATATCCCAGACGCGGACGCTCTTGTCGAGCGAGCCAGCGGCAACATACTGGGTGTCGGGAGAAATGGCAACAGTCGTGACGCCATCCTCAATAGTGAGGGTCAGAGTGTTGGTGCCAGACTCAATATCCCAGAGTCGAACAGTGCGATCGCCAGAGCCAGATGCGATGGTGCGGCCGTCGCGGGCAAAGTCGAGCGAGTAAATGTCTTGCTCGTGGCCCGAGAAGTGGTTGCGAATAGAGCGAGATTGAATATCCCAGACCTGGTTGATGGTTAGCATGTCTGATCCACGACCCAATTGCAGTGCGACGACTTACTCGAATCAGTTTATCCTCTGCACCGGTAGCAAGATAACGGCCATCGGGACTAAAGCAGACGCTACGAATGTAGAGATCGGCAGTCATGTCCTGGGCACCATGATCCTCCAGGGTGAGAATCTTCTCACCAGTCTGCACATCGAAGATCTGCGCAGAGCGATTGCAGCCAGTGGCAACGTACTTGCCATCGTGGCTGAATCTCACACAGCAAACGACACTCTCATGGGTGAGAGAATGGACCAAGTCGACGTCGAGAACGCGCTGAACCTGAGGGTTGAAGATGGCGTACCAGTCGTTACCAGTCTTTTTGTTGTGAGGAGCAACAGTGTCGACCTCGAGGTCACCAAGGGAGTTTCCCACGGGAGGAGGGCGCGGACCGAGACGGTGGTCGGGCGTAGGGTGGCTGACTTGCGGCGAAGCATTAGCAGGATACGGTGCCGGGGTGTTGATCTGCGGGGTGGCAGGGCCAACAGCGTTGGGAGGTCGGCCAACGCCACGACCTCCCCTAGGACCTGGGGAAGCGGTGGCCTGAGGGGGCTGAGGACCAATGCCGTTTGGGGCCGGAGGGCCTTGAGGATAACCCTGCTGGTAGGGAGGCTGCGCGTTAGGGTGAGGAGGGCCGGGAAGACCAGGAGGCCCTTGACCCATCTGGTGCTGAGGGCCCATCTGTTCCTGAGGAGGCCCATGCTGCTGAGGAGGAGCTAGACCTTGCTGGTTACCACCGGCCATGATACCGCTGAAGAGACCGTTGTTGGGAGTGATAGAGGGTGGTTGAGAAGGGCCGGCGTGCTGGGGAGGACCGGGCATACCAGGAGCAGGGCCGCCCTTACGAGCAGCCTCGAGTTGGTGACGGAGCATGGCGATTTCTTCCTCATACCTGGAGCGAATTGGTTAGCGAAAAGGACTGAAGATGGAAGTAGAGCTTCTATTGAAACCACAAAGCGACCCGGACGTACTTTTGCTTCAGAGTCATGTGCGTCTGCTCCATGCCGTAGACCTTTTCTCGAACGAGCTGCATTTCGCTAACCTGAGCAGAGACTAATTCCAAACACGCACAATGTTAGTAGGGGGGTTTTCGGAATAAGCAGACCATGGCGGCTGTGACCAGCCGAGTACATACTCTGATGCTCAAAGCCTTCACTCTGGCGCATTTGGGTATCAAATTCAGCACGAATCTGATCGAGAAGCTCGTTGAGACGAGATGAGCCGCTGGGGGGAACGGCCCCCATGCCGCGGTGGGAATACATTGTAGCAGGATGAGCTTTGAGCTAATTGAAAAAGCAGTTCTGTCGAGCCGACCGGACCGTCGATGAGCAGCAGGTGTACGTGGCTGTCGTAAAAGTTCCGTCGCCACGCGGAGGGTATCAAGGGAAAAATTGATTGTCGAGCACGCCGAACGAGTCAAGCGGAGCGACCGATGGCGTAAAATCAGCGTGCGATCGTGCAGAGGACCAGACGCAAAAGCTTTACGGCGTCGAGAAATTGATGCAGAGTTGGCTGTCGCAGAGGTGGCCGGCGCAACGAGGAAGCAATGTATGGCGCGGGAGGCAGAAATTCAAGGCGGAGATAGGCAAAGGACACGGCGCTATCGTGACGGATGAGAGACACGATCGAAGAGCACCGTTGCGCCTATGCCGTTAATGAAACTGGTCTGATGACGATGGTGAATGGATGAATGGTAGAGGTGGTGAGGTGCAGGAGGGGAGCTTAAAAAAAAACCAAGAGGAGAGTAAGAGGAGAGTAAGAGGAGAAGAAAAGGAAGATGGAGCCCCAAACGCAAGACGCTCTGGGAGGTGCTGGTGGCTCAGCGCAGGCTGGCACTGGGGATGGGGATGATGGGACAGCGAGAGTGGGGCCCCCTGTTGGCGCTGGTGTGGTGCAGGCAGGTAGGTGGTGCTTGGGGGGGGGGGGGGGGGGGGTGGGGGAGCTCTTGTTTTCTTTTTAGCGTCTGGCGGCAGGCGGCAGAGGAAAGACAGCGTGAGGGAAAAAAGGTGGTGATAGGGCTCCTGGGGGGTGTGATAGGGAATTATGATGGTTGGGGGTTCGCGGGCTATTTGTGGAGGCTTTGGTGTGGGTGGCACCCCAAAAGCCGCAAGCACACCTTTGGCCTGGCACGCCTGGCTGTGGCACGACTAGTAACCTTTAAGGCGTTAAAATACGTAGTAACTGACTAAGGGGTGGACAAAAACTGTCGCTTTGTACATGCCACCTAGCTACCTGTCTTCTTATTAAGGAGAATAGTAAGAAGTAATATTATATATACTATATAAAAATACTAATATTAATATTTACTTTCTAATAACTATAAATATATATATCTTTTTATTTAAAGTAGAAATCTAAATAAATTATTAAATAATTAAATAAAAAGTAAAGATTAAGATAATAATAATAAGATATTTATTTTAGAATAATATTTAGTTAATTAAGTAATTTTATATATTTATTATAAGATCTTCATAGTAAATATATAGAATTCTTAGGTTATAATTTAAGTATCTTTTAACTTAATTATTTACTTTTCCTTTCTTGAACTCTGAGTAATCTCCTTCCTCTGCTAAAATTAGTGGGATTTGGGCTCTAGCAAAAGCGGCAATTTTTTTTGTCCCCCACATGCTGATCTATTTGTGTGAAGTACTGTTGGTAATCAGCGGTGATGGCACAGCATGTGGCTGTCTTCCCAGCCTGCCTTGTCCCAAGCACAAACTAACGCCGCCATAGGTGGGCTTATTAGTTAGCGAAGCGGGCCTTGTTTTGAGGATGGTCTAAATATTTCTTCTCCCGCAGTTCGTCATCTTTTTTAGTACAGGGCGCCGGCAGCCCACTTTGGGAGCCTCCGGGGGAAGGGTAGTGGTTGTCTCTGTTTTTGTGGTGCGTCTGGCATGGGTGATGTGCCCTCTGCAGAGAAAGGCGACGCCAAAAACTGGTAGCGTGCAGCCGCTGTATGTCTTTGGAAGGGGGGGGGGGGGCGTGCTGCGCTCTTCCAGCACACGCCAAAAGATTGCATTCGTGCGACATGCAGTTCACAATTGTTTGATGGATGCATAGATGCATAAATAGTGGCTGGTGTCCGGTGGTAGCCAGGAGTGCCAGGTAGTTCAGGACCTCTTGAAAGCGGAAACCGTAAGAAATCTGCAACCAGAAAAAAAAGCTACGAGTCGTGCCCCGTCATACTGCCAAGTAAATAAGTCGGCAAACTAATAACGCTGGCTCAGCTAGTCAAGCTGGCAAGTTGAGAACACCGTCCTCGAAGCCATCACCAACTTTTGCAATAGATTCTCTTTCTGAATGAGAAAAGAATGGCACAGTCCCTTATCAATCCGCCTACTCCCTCGGACACCTTGGACAAGTAGCTTCGCGTACAGCTATTTTACTCAGCAATCATCGACAGCTCTCTCTCCCAAGCCTGCTCAGAGACGAGGCCATCCTAGCCGCGAGCGACGACACGGCTGTGAGGGTTTCAATGACTTCGAGGTCAATGTTTCCCACCAATCCATGGTGGCGGCTTGTGGGGGCCACAAGCTTTTGGTTGCATGCAACATGTCACCCTGTTTAGTACAGGGGATAAAGAGACTGACACGCCTCCACGCACTTCCACTCGG